GAGATTTCTTATTCGCCGAATATATATCCAATCATTGGCGATGATTGGGGAATGACAAATGAATCTTATAATACGCAAACTTACTACGAACTGAAACAAATAGGTATAGGTTCCATATCATGATCGCGGGTTCTGGGCTACCTACAATTTCCTGAAAAACTTATTGCAAATAACCTTGAACAGAACAGCCCTCCGCATCACAACGAAATTTAGGAAATGGTTCAACCGTTCAATTGATTACCTAGCCGGCTACATTACGCGCGAAAATCTTAGCCGTTTAAACCGGAGAGCACTTCAATTACCTACTAAATTTGGAGTAGGCTAGCTAGACAGTAGTGGGGCAAGACTGTTGACTTTACTTTAAAAATCAATTTTCTCCAGAGATATTACTAGGATCAATAAATTTATACTCTAAACAAGTATCAAGAAAACAACCGTCGTTAGGAACCATCAAATTTCAATTGCTACGGAAGTTAACTGAAGAACAAAATACAACGGTCTTTGGTTTCGTTTCCTTATAACTTTACAAGCGTGATAATCATAGCTTACACAACATAGCAACGCTGAATAACTGTCATTACACCATATACTTATGGAGAACTTACTTCAGCAGCACGTTTCACTCCCTTTTTAACTTCTTCTTTGGCGGCGGCTTCCTCAGCCTTGGGTTTATTGTTGGTCTCAGACATGGCGATTTGTGTTTGAGTCTTTAGAACCTCACAGTACGGAGAGCAAGAGCAGACTGAGATCTCGGCTGACCGCCTAAACTTGAATCCAAACACTACTCGGAACGCACGACGCTCAGTGACGTCACAAACTAGAGTTTCAGTTTTGTATTGATTAAAAAAGAATTTGCATGCATTTTTCTAATACAAACACACTTTTCAGAACTACATTCAGTGTTTTTGAGTGTTTAAAAACTTTTAAAATGTAGAATAACGATAAATGATGATGGCTTGAAGATTTGAGGTTGTTTCATTTTGGTAACGAGACACCTAGTGGGAATCTCTGTAAAGTTGTTGAAAACCCTCTGCAACGAGTGCATTTAAGCAAAGGCGGGAAAGTGATATGCGAATACGCGTTTCTCATTACCGACAAAAACTTTAGGGATTGATTTGAAGACGCTAGAATTACATTAAATTATACTTTTTTTACTAAATAAAACAGACGCGCTGGTATCAGTGATGAATGAAGTAACCAAATCTTATTTTTATACTAATTCGTAACTGAAATATTCATGTTATGGGATTTATTTGAATCATTTAAGCTTGAATAAGGTTAAAAAACTGGTCATTTTTAACGGCCTTCCAAATTGACCAGATCAACACAAGATTTTCAATGGTGATTCAGTGGTTCGACAGCGCCATCACGCCACATGGATCATACAAAACGAAGCAAATGACGCCATTTGGAAACCATAGTTAAAAGTTGGAAAATTTTTAACTTAAATATTAGTCGTAGGAATGAGTGGAATGTTCATTTGACAATTTATATTAGATGTTCGTGTGACATTTTACATCAATGGTGAAAGGAAACATAAATTCAATTTTTGATATATTGAAAACATTATGACTGACAGAGAATAGTTGTGTATCAAAAAAGCTATAAGGTGTGGAGGAATCCGGCACTGTAATGCGTGTTGTGCATTATTTTGTGACGCACAGGCCTGTAAGGCAGTACGCATTCACAGAATGGCCTAGAAGATATCGAAAATGTATGTTGGTGCACACAAGTATTCCAGGTAAAATGTGGGGCATATCTATGAATGTAAGAGTTTGATATTTTAAACCGTAAAGGAAAAATTACGACGAAAATGAGGTTCTGTGAAGAGGAAAGAGGATCATTTGTATTTATTGCGGACATAGTTTGTTCTACATCCAGAATGGCAAAAACATTACTAAATTATAATTTTTATTTTTGCACAATCCATAGCGGTTCAATCTTATAAACATGCTGAGCGGAGTTGTGAAAGCGGAACCTGATGTCCTTGTGATTTTTATAGTTTTTTTTACATTTAAAGAAATTTTTATTCAAATTAGGTTTACCGTGACGTCATCGTTCTCACAACCATGCTTCTTGGTTTCTTGTCTCGTGCTGCTGGTCGCGCCCATGAATCACAACAGTATCCGTACATACTTTTTAAAAGTAACCGTAACAATTCAACAATCCGCTTATCTCCATCTACTAATCTGTGTCTACTTTAAAAGTACAGTGAAATTACTTGGAAGAAGTTTCGCTTGAGCGACGTCAGCGTACAATTTTTTTTTCGCAATATGGTTTCTAACTTTAGTGAAGTAACTCGCACGTGGCATCATCAGTTGATCCTCACTAGCCGGCATGAATGTTTCTTCATTAAATTAAGATTGTGATGTTTGCACAAGGCTGAAGCGTGTCCATGTGGCGAATGAATATTGGCAGATATTCATCCGTAATTCGTATTAGGAGATATTGCTCCAAGTAGTAGCACCACGTGGCAGATATTCCCGCGTGTCCTTCTAAGCAATGCAACCGCGTGCAGGATGACATTCTTTTGTGTTTTCATGTGATTACAAAATATTTTTCTTATATGTGTAAATTCAATTACAAAATTAAGAAATATATATATTTGTGAGTTGTGCATTTATTGCAACAAACTCTAAGTAAATGAAACACTGTTTTAAGTGTTTATGTTAACTAATAGCTCTACGTAATCGTTTTATCTTTTGTTGTAAACTGTCAAGCTTATGATAGTTATTTAACAGAAACGAAGTTTAGATCAGCGTCAAAAATGCTCGATCACATTTAGCTCTGTAGACCACACACGTGTGTGCCGAGAATGAACTTGCGTTTATGCAGGCACGTACGGAGTGGAATAACGAAATGTGCAGTGAGTTGTCGGTTCGAGCCTCAGCTGGCCGTGAAAATTTCCTTTCTTTTCGTTATCGGCTGGGAGTGCGATTGGTTGAAGTGCATGCACATATAGTAGTAGTAGTACTTATTACTTACTTATTTGAATTGCGCGCCACGTGGCGGCCATTAGTCCTAGGAAGGTGGCGCCATGCGCAATATGGTGCGCGGGCTATGAAGTTTTTCGTCCACTCAGTTCAGTTGCGACCATGCAGTGGTCGAGAGAGGAGCGCGCGTTCGCAGTCTCTGTGTACTTTTTTGTAAAAAAGAAAGAATTAAAACGCTATCTTTAATACTTTTTACTTTGTGATTTTTTTAAAAGAGTAAGTTCCCACGCCGCACCCTGTAGTAGCAGATAGTAATGATTGTGTAGAATGGTATTAGCTACGTAAGGGGATAGTAGTGATTGTGTAGAGTGGTATTAGCTACGTAAGGGAGGTAGAAGTGATTGTGTAGAGTGGTATTAGCTACGTAAGGGGATAGTAGTGATTGTGTGGAGTGGTATTAGCTACGTAAGGGGGCAGTAGTGATTGTGTAGAGTGTTATTTGCTACGTAAGGGGATAGTAGTGATTGTGTAGAGTGGCATTAGCTACGTAAGGGGATAGTAGTGATTGTGTAGAGTGGTATTAGCTACGTAAGGGGATAGTAGTGATTGTGTTGAGTGGTATTAGCTACGTAAGGGGATAGTAGTGATTGTGTAGAGTGGTATTAGCTACGTAAGGGAGGTAGAAGTGATTGTGTAGAGTGGTCTAAGCTACGTAAGGGGACAGTAGTAATTGTGTAGAGTGGTATTAGCTACGTAAGGAGGTAGTAGTGATTGTGTAGAGTGGTCTAAGCTACGTAAGGGGACAGTAGTAATTGTGTAGAGTGGTATTGGCTACGTAAGGAGGTAGTAGTGATTGTGTAGAGTGGTATTAGCTACGCAAAGGGTAGTAGTGATTGACGGCGACAAAAAAATAAACCCATTTGTTTTTATTTCCGTTGCATGAGAACCAAGTTGATCACGTCACCAGCTATCAGCTGTAAACTTCAATTGTACGTAAACTTCAAACAAAATCTGGTGAATCTTTATTTTGTCTCGTCTTTCCTTGATATATCATTTATTAATGACGGCGATTTTTAGAGTCTACATTCTTTCCTAAATACTATAATTCATGTTATTCATTTGAAATAATTACGCTTTTGATGTATTTCATATGTGTCAGTCTAAATTTTTATTTTCTTTAAATAATTATTTGTCTTATTTTTTAGATTATTTCTTCTGTTACGATCTTTAACCATGGTTTAGCTACTTTTGCTCATAGTGGCGGTACCGCCCCCCTGAGGGCGGTGGAAAGATCTGGGGGGGGGGCGGTGAGGTAGAAGAGGGTGGTAGGGGGCGGCAGGCGAAGTCAGATGTTTGAACGTTTGTTTGACGATATGTACACAACACGTGCAGGCGGTGCAGCTGCACACGGCTCCCAGCGATGGGTTTTTCCACACAGATATGGGTTTTTTGAACCTAGAGCTCTTGGGTCTCGATAGTAAATTTTGAAAATATTCAAAATCTGTGGGGCGCTAGGAATTAACTGGGTAGCCAAGGTGGCGCCAGCCTGCAAAAGTTTGGGAACCACTGCTTTAGACGGTCAATCATTTTATCGAAAGCTTGAGTTGGTCGATTGACTCAGCGTGATTGACCGCGTAGGAATTCGTTTGAAGCTTGATGCGAGGCTTGATTGATACCAAGACTCGAGCGGTTGGAGGCAGGGATTGATCGTCTAGGCAGGGCTGCCAACGCTAGGTTTAAAAACCTAGATTTTGGTCTTCTAGCTAGGTTTCTACGTTTTTAACTTACAAATTGATCTAAATCTAAGTTTTTTTAGAATAATGCACTGAAAGCAAAAGCGTTTAACAAAGTACGTTTAAACCCTATTAGCATTAATTAATTAGAATAACAGCACTAGATACCAGCACATACCAGCATACATAAATAAATCCTGACAAAAATTATTCCTAATAACGTGGAAATACTTCATGTTATAATCTTTAAATACATGTCCATACAGGTTCGTGTTCTAATTTCAAAATGCATGTTCATTCAAGTTCGTAACTTCGTACAGAATAAAGATTGTACTTACGAGTGTCGCGTGTGTGTCGGTTAAAAACTAAAAGGAAGCTTAGTTCACTACAAAACTCTGCGCGAGTGTGTACTGCCGTGCTGCTATTCTGGTCTTGACACGCAGAGCTTGATTGTTCCTGTATTTTTTCTTAAATAAACCGATAAGAACAGTGCAGCGGTCATTATGAGTGAAGAAACTCCTAAGAAGAAAAAGAAATGGTACACACAGTCTTTCAGAGAAGAATGGTTACTTGATGACGAATTTAAGGACTGGTTGGAAAGAGACAAACGCAATAAAGATTTTAGTTACTGTAAATGTTGCGCAGTTACACTTAAAAATTCTACGAAGTCCATGTTACGTGGTCATAAAAATACCGTGAAACACAAAAGATGTTATGACATTGCCAAGTCGAATGTAAGTATTGTCAAATTTTTACTAAAAATACTGCTAAGCCTGAAACGGATAGAATTGCTAATGCTGAAGCATTGATTGCAGGCTTTTTTCCCGAACACCATGTGACATGTCCCCTTTGCACACACGACACACTGATCTTGCGTTTGCTAGCGAGTGTTTAGTGACTGATATTTCAAAGAAATTTGATTCTAAAAGAACGAAGCCATCCTACAGGCTACCTACATTCAAGATGGTATTGCCCATCAAGAAAAACTTGACCTTACCCACATTTGTAGAAAACACAAATTTTCTGTTATTGATGAAAGCACTGACGCAAGTGTTAGTAATTGTGGTGAGGTATTTTGATTTGAAGGAGTTAGATCTAGTAGAGCCTTTTAACTGACGGGTATCAGTCACGTGAAGCTGGTTCTCAACTCGCGACCATTCGTCATCAGACATTTCACATTTGTTCCCACTCGACCAGAACTCGCATATCCATTGTCCGAAATTTTTAATTAGCAACATTCTAGTAATCGGCGACAAGCCAAAGTTAGCCTATTATTCAAAACCAATATACTACTATACGGTACCTTTATTACTTTCTATTACTTTCTACTAATAGATATTAATAAAGTGCTTTTATGCCTGAGTCTTGAAAGCTATAGTGAAACGTGTATTTTTTTTTCAGATGACGTTACCTGGTGTCGACTCGCATGCTCTACAAGATTTCAAAATTACGTATCCTGCTGAACTACTAATTGCACCGGAAACTTCAGACCCAGTTTCCCCTCATAAAGAATCGGGTAATAAAAGGAAAAGTCTAGACCGCAGTGAGCAGTTAGTGGAACTATCAACAGAGTATTTCAAGCGGCCTGAGACTGAAGAGGATATTATGGGGAAGATGTGGGCTATGAAATTAAAAAAATTACCTCTGGACCAACGGCGTTTTGCTGAAAAAATTATCAATGATACGCTTTTTGAAGCTGAAATGGGCACCTTGACAATGGAATCAATGCGTTTTGTTAGATCCTGCACACCAACATCAACACATTTGTCATCGTTGGCTTATAATTAGCATGAGTATCCCACTCTGCACAGCCTATTTACACCTGGCTTCCAAGCCCTACTCTGCACCATGAGCATAACCAAATCTATGAGGCTAAGGCGTACTTCTGTTCTCAAAACCCTATGTAAACTTGTGCTTTTAATTGTATAAGGTAAATTTATTGTGCTTCTCTTTATTGACGTATGAAAAAATGTACATGAAAATTGATTGCCTGATTTTTTTCCTTCAATACCATCGCGATTGCTGAGCAAATTTTGTTCATGATCGACTCAACATTCTGAGAAACGATGGCGCAAGTGAATTAGAGATTTTCTAAATCTGTGCCAGACACTAGTAAGTACCTCAGTCAGTGTGATTCAGTTTCAGGCTTGCAGGCGAAATTTGAAGAATGATCACGATCTAAGCATCACCCTTACACTAACTGAATTACACTAGGTCTAGTGAGTACGGAACTTTGGTATTAATGAACGCATTTGCTAAGTTTCATCGAGCTGCGTTTGCTAGGGAGATAGTTCATGTCAACTACAAATTTGACAATCTACAGAAGTGCCTGTGGCTTATACGTATAGCGTATAATTCGCCGTTGGAGCCTTAAATTGATTATTTTTACACTCGATAAACATTGTAATATGATTAGGCATGTATAATCAAACTTTCGTTCAAATCTGTTAAGTATTTCAGATATTTTTTGTTAATTGCAAATTTTGACCGCATAAAGTACAATCGATGGCAAAACAGAAGAAACCATCACGGCCTAAGCATAATCGTTAGGTCCTGATAAATGGCAAATGCAAGTGCATAGTTTCATCATGCGGCGTTCATTAGGTTCAGGGCAGAGATTAACGAAACTTCGCTAAGTTCACGTAACTTTTCGTACTTACGTTCAAAAAGTTACGTATGGCGTAAGTCAGTCAAAATTTGGCATTAACAAAACTGTCTTACGCATGACTCATCTGAAAAGGCATTATCGAAACCATCCAACTAACTGACCAATCAGAGGCTTTGGATTTGCTGTTCCTAGCTCCTGTCGACTCAGTGCGCAGAGCGCGTGTAACACTCAGTAGAGTCACGTCTACTTAGCTGTACTTACGCTAAACGTTAGCGGCTACGTATACTTAGCATGTTTTGATAATCCGGCCCCAGAGCTCTAAAGTCTAAGAGTTAGTTGAGTCTTGGAGACCGGCCGGAAATGTGACCGAGAGGCGAGAGGTCTGCAGTGCACCATTTGTACAAAAATTTCACTGGTCTTTCGGACTTTCAATTTGTTGAATTTTACTCCATCTACGTGTTGTAAATACTGCTGAAATTTGTAGAGACCGATATTTCTGCAAAACATTTGGAAACATTTTAATTCAAGTTCGTATACGAACTTGAATCATCTTTCCGTTCATGTTAAACTTAGAGGTCGTGAGTAATTATTAGTTAATTAGTAGTGTACCTAGTAGCCTAGGTATTCTGTTACTTTCTGGCTTCAGTGTGAATTTTTGAAAGGCTACAAGTCGCAGTTCAGACGAGTATTATAATGAATATTTTTACAGTTTTTGAAAACGAGCGGCGAGTCAAATGCAGTCGCCGACTGTCAGTCATTTTGTCAAAGCAGAGACTTTTTTTAGACTCCTTCTCAAGTTCATTTGTGACTTGTGAGTCCTAGAAGTAGAAGTAGACCAGTTACCAGTAAAATTAAAGTACCTACCTAGGTATCACGGACACCAGCATTATCTTGCATAAGAAATTGGTTCAAATCATGAGGAAATTAAAAATTAACTGATTGTAAAATCAGATTTGACAGTAAAATTGTCACTATGCTGGCGCCTCAGCCTGGCGGTGGCGGTAGCTGCTAGGAGTTGCTAACTGCTAAGTGGTGACTTATTAATTATGTTTCATTCACATTGATCTTTTGATGGAAGCTAAATGACCTAAATCTGCAACTGCAAGACTAGGGTTACTGCTGTTTGTTGATTTTAGGCCTACTGTGTTAGTGCTGACTGCTGGCCTTGCTGGGCTGCTGGGCATAGTGGCACACCAGAGATTTTTTTTTAATCTGTTCATTTTCAATTTCCTTATTTACCAAAGATTGAAACCAATTTCTTATGTATGATAATGATGGATAATGGATTGATGGTAGCTACTTGGTAGGCGGCCTACTGACACAATAGATCATGTTAGAACGCTATAGATTGCGGTAGAACGCAATAGATCACATTAGAACACAATAGATCACGTTAGAACACAATAGATCACGTTAGAACACAATAGATCGCATTAGAACACAATAGATCACGTTAGAACACAATAGATCACGTTAGAACACAATAGATCGCATTAGCACACAATAGATCACGTTAGAACACAATAGATTGACAAGTTTTTTCAGCAGTAGCATTGGGCTTGCCAGACGTATGCACATTGAGATCAGGTGACAGATACAAGCAATCAAACAAGCTGAAGATGGGCGCGGTGACAGCGGGGCTGATCCAGCAATCTATAGTTTATGATCGGCCATGGACGCCGATTTAAGGTCGAGGTGGCTGATGGAGAGCTTGAAAAGACGCCGATATCTCGAGCTAAAAGGCCCTACTCTACAGCCTGGGATGGATTGATGGTAGCTACTTGGTAGGCGGCCTACTATCCATATTTTACTGGTCTACTTATAAGTTATAGGACACAAAAATGAACTTGAGGGAGAGTCTAAAAAACTCTCTGATTTGCCACTTGACCACCTCAGTCCTCAGTCCTCACCTCTGGAGTCTGGACTCAGACCTCAGTCTGGAGCAGGCATGGAATATATCCACTTGGCAAGCCACAACTGAATTTTTGGAACTGTGGTTTTATGGATTTGCCAGCCCTGATTCTATTTCTTTGAGACGTGATTTAATTTCTTTGAGCCTTGAGTTCCATATCTCAGCCATTAAACGCCATTTATGAGCCGGTGCCACCGCAAACGTTTTACTAAGTCTCTTGCACGATTGCACGTGTTACCCCTCATCTTTAATTTTACCCAAAAATCTGTCAACACTAACAATCTAACATTTGTCTTCACTTTAGAGTTTATATGTTGAGACAGTTGAGTGGCAACTGATCTCATGATAATGCAGTCTGACCACTGTCCACTTTGACATGCTGGCCCATGCTGGAATTCTAGGAATTGGTTGGTCATTTAGATCCCCCAGGTTCCCAGTCCCCGTTGCGCTCCTATCCTGCTTACATGCTGCCATTGCTAGTGAGTAGTGGGATGAGTGCGCTGCTAGCGGGACGAGTGTGCTGCTGCTAGCGGGATGAGGGCGCTGCTGCTGCTAGCAGGACACAGAGTGCTGCTGCTGATAGCAGGACGAGAGCGCTGCTGCTGCTTGCAGGACAAGAGCGCTGCTGCTGTTTGCAAGACAAGAGCGCTGCTGCTGCTAGCAGGACAAGAGCGCTGCTGCTGCTAGCAGGACAAGAGCGCTGCTGCTGCTAGCAGGACAAAAGCACCGCTGCTGCTAGCAGGACAAGAGCGCCGCTGCTGCTAGCAGGACAAGAGCACTGCTGCTGCTAGCAGGACAAGAGCACTGCTGCTGCTAGCAGGACAAGAGCGCTGCTGCTAGCAGGATGAGAGCGCTGCTGCTGCTAGCAGGACAAGAGCGCTGCTGCTGCTAGCAGGACAAGAGCGCCGCTGCTGCTAGCAGGACAAGAGCGCTGCTGCTGCTAGCAGGATGAGAGCGCTGCTGCTGTAGTGGGACAAGCACGCTGCTACTGCTGCCAGCCTGCTAATTTGAAATGTATGACCCTGCCGCTACTATTGGAGTGAGCATGCTCTTTTTGGCAACCTTGCACCTCAATTACATAGGAACATGGTCATTTAGAAAGCATTTAGAATACCTGATACCATCATGAATTGACCGCAACTACGCGATCTATAAGGAAAGGTTTTATTCCTATAAAAAAGTCCTATTTTTTCTGAAATATCCTGGCTCTAATATCATGAAATTTTAGTAGGTATGAAATTTTGTGGCTCTAATTTTTGTTGATTGAAAAATTGCAATTTGCAACTTTGCAAACATGTCATTTCATAAAAGTTTCAACTTCCGCAATGATGGCGCAATCTGCATTACTTCAACATTCCTGGCAAAATATCCTGCAAAACGTAATAACAACACATGGCTGTGGTCACTCCAGAGCAGTCAGACTGCATTATCATGTGTTCATTTGCCACTTAACTGAAACCAAATGTTAGTTTTGCTGTTTGATTGTTTTAAGGGAAAATTAGAGATTTGGGTAACACACATGCATGGACGTAGTAAATATGTTCACAGCTCGTTAATGGCTTTTCATGGCCGAGATATAGAATTCATGGCTTGAAGAAATGAATCACGGCTCAAAGAAATGGAATCACGGCTGGCAAATCCATAAAACCACAGTTTGAAAAATTTAGTTGCAACTTGCCAAGTAGATATATTTCGTGCTTGAGGGCCAGATTACACTTTGGAGCTTTATTGGTTGTTCTGTCAGTTCAATTAACCCTTTCGCAGGTAAGTTACCATATATGGTAATTAAAATGGGAGTAAAAATAAGGCCCCCACATCACCCACATTGCTTTGGGCAGCCTGCCAACAAGCTCCAACCAATCACAGATCATGTATGTGTTTCGTCATGTATGACGTAGCACTCTGGCGTGCTCTTATGTCTGTGTGAGCTGACATAAAAACTAAGTACTCTGGAGAAATGGCAAAATGGCATTTTGGGCCCTCATCGTATTCACTTTAGCAGCTCTAGCCCATGAAGAACTGTAGGTAAGTCCATGATAGTGGCTAGTATCATAGTTAAAAACTTGCTTTATTGACTGATTATGTTGCCATTTACTGGAAGCAAATACAAGATGTGAAATAAGATGATGAAAAATAGTGTGATCATATATGAGCATACACCTGCCAATGCTTAGAGATGGAAGTGACCATGTTTGGTCATAAGCCTGCTAGAGGTAAATTTCTACAGCGCTTGGTAAATGTTTGTTAGCCTTTAGTGGTTAGCAGTACGTACCGTAAAATGGGGTAACTTAGACCACTTTTTTTTATAAATGATGCCATTTTTTTACTAGCTAAATTAAACTTGAATTTAAACATGCAAAATACAGGTCTATACTCTAGCTTTACTCACCATAAATTGCTGGCTCCTGCCTCTCATAGTCTTCATGTAATTTCAAAAAAAGTTGTGGTCTTTGTTACCCCAGCTCTTGGGGTAACTTAGACTGGGTGGTAAAATCAATTATATTTTTTGGTAAAATAACTCCAAATAACTCCAGGTTTTGGTGCATTTATGTCAAATAGTTTTTGAGTTGTGGGGGTTTTTGTTAAAAAAACGAAAAGTGGTCTAAGTTACCCCGCCGGTCTAAGTTACCCCATTTTACGGTACTATGATTTAAGCCATGTTCTTCAGTCCAACGTACCTATAGTTCACCACTTGATGCTTTCCCAGACTTTGACTGCAGTCAAAGCTCTTGGCATTTTTTTCGCTACAGTACATGGAGCCAATGCAGTTGCAAGCAAGATGGTCTCTGCACTGACCCAGACAATAACATGTCCTTCACCAATACTAATTCTTACTGACAATTTTTTCACAAGTTTTAGGTATATGTTGTATATGAATGTGACTCCTTACATACGGCATGGATCTTTAATTATATCGATGGTCTGGAAATATCTTGCCATAAAATGCTAAACGTACCTATAATTTTGCTCATCTTGATTGCTTCATTAGTATGTGTTATAATCCAAGCATAAAAGAGCAATCAAGATGTTTTTTACCATCTGAATAGTAAACTTTCAATGTCAAAATCAGCGAATTTTTAGTACCTTATGCCGGTACCTTAAGTACTTGAGTAATTTTAGTACGGTACCTTAAAGTACTTGAGTAATTTTTAGTACCTTAAGTAAATATATCTTGAAATTGATTATACTTTCAAGTACAATCGTCAAATATTTCAATTTAATCAAATTTCTATGTCCGCCCAAAAAGGGTCAACTACCTCAGTAGTTGAGTCTGTACTTGATTAGTAACAGCAAAATGTTAGTACCAAGGTGCAGAGTTCATTTGATGCATTGCCAATTTTTATTTTGTAGACCAAAAACATTGCACACAGTACCCAAGATGTGTTAACCAGCAGTCTTCAAGATGTGATGCCTTGCTGCATCCCCAGCAGTCTTCAAAATGCATTGCAAACACAGAATGTATGCGCTGCAGACATTCTGTGAAATAAGGAGGTGTCAGACTGTAAAGGCATTGGAACATCAGTACAATGACCTTGAACCTTGTGTGCTTTTGCATGTGCAGCCAGTAAAGATTGCGCAATATTTGCATCATTTGTTCTAATTTTTGCTTATTGCACACCAGTCGTGCAGCAGCATTTGTTATGGATTGCAGTTTATTTTGTGTTGTGGTTGAAAGTTCATAGAGTGTGGCATTGCCATAGTCCAATTTCTTTTTGCAGATTGTTGTATGTATGGTTGAATTATATGTGTAGGGATGTGTGGTGAATGGGTCCTGTGTTGCTGGATGCATTTTATTTTTTAATGATCATTTGTTTCAGAATGTTGCTTAACTTTTCAAAGATGATACCACCACTGTTGTATCAATTGGCAATTCTCTTACTTTGCCTAAGTCAGTGTGTTGTACTGCAAGAATTTAATGAAAAAAATATAAGAGAGGCTAAAAAACCCTTCAGGATGGCTAAGATTAATTTGGTGTGGGAGAAAGCCTTGAAGGTAAGTATAAAGATTTCAATGAATTTTCTTCATGCATCTTGTAATAAATGTGGCCTTGAGAAAGTTATTTTATATTGAAAAAAGTAGCTCCTGCTTATGTCAAATTTATTTACTTATTTGAGCTGAATGCCATGAGGTATCTACATATTACTAGCTGTACAAATTTCAATGTGTCATTCTAAAATGTTATAGATTTTTAAGACTAGACTTATGTCTGTGATCTAAATGTATGTAACCCAACTATAATGAGTAAAGTCTGAATCTTTTAGTTCTAAGCTATTTTCTCAGCTATTTGTATTTATAATGTCAAATGGGGTAATAAGGGACAGTTGGGCTAACTTGGGACAGTCCCCTGCCATGGCGTAAAAATATTATAGCAGCAAAACATTGAAATATTGCAAAACTAAAAATACCATCAACCGGGGCTACTCGGGATGATTTCGAACGTTTTTCATTCAAAACTTCTTACCATGAAACATTTCATAAACAAGTTTAGGCTCATTTCAAAGCTCTTTGCAAGGGCTATTGCATGGCTTCTCCAAAAAAATTCTATATGCTATTCGTGAGGTGCCAGAAGCAAAAAAAGTGTGTGTGAAAGAAGTGAGAAATGAGTGAAGTGAAGTGAGCCCCGTTGAATGGGGCTACTCGGGACACTTGGAATAAAACTTAATTTTAAAACATTTGAAGCATGCAGACTGCAGAGTGTACTCATCCAGTACTAACATTACTCTGAAGTCCTCCTCTTTCATTGTAGATGATGTAGAGGTAAAATAAATGACATTTTCTGTGATTTTTACTTGTTTTTCCTTTATTGATATGATATTAACATATACATTGATATTACCATATCCATGAACAGGCCATTGAGCATTTCAACTACCTTGTCCACTGCAAGCTTCATATCAGCAACCATATAGCATTTTTTCTGTATCTGTAAGCTTACAGGACGGCTTGTAATTTCACACCATTTTAATTGGGTTAAATGAATTTACTATAAAAAAAAGATTGTGAAAAGCATACCTGAAACAGAAAGGAATGTTTTAGCGACAACCATCATATGTTTTGGAGAAATAAATCATAGTTTAGGTCAATTACTTTTCATTCTATGATGCCTGGTGCACAATTCTATATATGACATTCTATGCACAATTTTGTGATGACTGATGATGCACTAATTTTTCAATAAGTGAATTTTTTTTGCTGAGCAAGGTAAATGTAATCAATATTCTTTGTTTTTAATAAATTTTTTCTTAACTGAAGCCTTTGCTAACTGAGGTTCTAGTCATTCTACTGTAATTGCGTTTTTGGGGGTGTCCCGAGTAGCCCCGCCATGCGGAAATGGCCGCCTAGACTCCTGCGTTTGGCATTTTTTCTTATCCGAGACGAGACGAGACAACAGGCTCTGTCCCGGTTCGCAATAAAAACCGGGACAATTTTCAGCCCTCCGTAGGAATTCCGGGACGATACCGAGACGAGACGAGACATCCCGGTTAAAATGCGTACCTTAAAATTTCCCAGAATTTATAGCCATTTTAACGAGACAACGAGACGCATCAATTATTGATGTGGTGTAAACTTAGGCTCACCATCATACATTTATACAGAGCTGGGCAGCGCTACTTTGAAATGTAGCGGCCGCTACCGCAACATGATCTAAATGTAGCGTGCGCTACCGCTACAAGTGCTTAAATTTAGCGCCGCTACCGCTACCGAAAATATAGCGGCCGCTACATGTAGCGCGCTACTGCCGACCTCTGGACTAACAACTAACCTGTTGACACTAGTAATAGGCTGAAGTTGACAACATTACACCGAAATCTTTCGTACAGTTTTATTCTGTAATTTATATTATGTATGTATCATGCTGGATTTTAAATAATATGTAATACTATTAAGTAAAATCTAGAGGCTTTATCTATAAATGTAGCGGTAGCGCTGTAGCGGCAAAACCTCGTATCGCTACTTGAATACGGAGCGGGCGCTACCGCTACCGCCACAATTGCTTAAATGTCGCGTCGCTACCGCTACCGCTACATGTAGCACGTTACTGCCCACCTCTGCATTTATATAATAACTTGAGACGTATCCTTGTACTATTCTGATTGGAGCTCGGTAATTGAAATGATTTTTGCTACGAATACATGTTGTGGTTTAATATGGTACTTAATCTTGACAGGCGAATAAAAATGGAAAAACATGTTAAAAATAGAAAAACACGTTTTTCAAAAATTGTGTTCTATGATGGTCTGGAGGAGGCCATACTAGCTGTAGCCTGTAGCTGGTGACATCGGCTGACTGGACAGACTTTGATTTGCCTCCAGCTCAATCACAGAATCAGATTCATCGATCTTGCCTCAAGCAATCTCCTTCAACAAAAAAGCTTGGAAAGAAATATCAACAACATTTTAAAATACAACAAAATTTAAGTTGGAAAAAATATAATAATTTGATTTTCAAAAAAGAACTCGAAATATCCATGTGTATCCTTTCTAAATAACGTTAAGAGGAGCGTCTGGCCACTTTTTTTTCTCGGCTGGTACAAATTTGGTACACCATTGTAAAACCGTAAAATAGACAGCTTTTATTCAAGTAGATTTTTCGAAAAATGAAAGAAAACGTGAAATTCTTAGAAAACGGCCAAAAAAGGGGTACCGTACTGTAGAACTATCTCCTCCTTGGATTTTCAAGCTACAACATTGAGACGCATGTCATTCGATGCATATAGACCATATCTATTGATTTATGGTAGCGTTTTTTGAAATTCAAATTTTCGTGAATGGAGGAGCATTTTTTGCAAAATGTTTGAATTTTTTTTCGATTTTCCCTATTTCCTCTCCCTTTTTTTAAATATTTTCAAAACCATAATGAAATTGAAAAAAACTACCATAAATCGATAGATATTTTAATTGCAAATCGAATGATATATGTCGCATCACTGTAGCTTCAAAACTGTAGGAGGAGACAGGTTTGCAGTTACAATAAGTTAATTGTTCAGTAGAGCCTGATAAATTCCTGGGCGCCTCGAAATAAGCGTTCAAGGTGGCAAGAATGCAAGACTAGGCGATATTGGAGCTCAATTCCTGTCAAGGATGGTGTGAACGACGACACGCAAACCCTCCCGTACAACTGCAGGCGGGTAACTGAAGCACATCGTATGTGGTATAGCTATTTAAGTATGCTATCGGGAATTTCCGCGTATCTTTAATGTGAAAGAACGCCACCACCCCGCACCCTTTCGCGATCTGTCGTGAACGCTTAAATCAACGTACAGAGATGATTTTGGTACCGTTGGATAGAGCAGAATGTCAGCTTTGAGATGAGACTAAAAAGTGGAAAAGCCAAAATTCAAAAATTTTGGCCAGACGCTCCCCTCAAACATGACCAAGTGTTTGATAACATTTCAGGAAACTGCGCAATTGCGAAGATTTCCTGGAGGCGTAGCACAAAATTTTACTAAAGACAGAGATAATCTAATACTAGCTTTAGTATTATTAGGAATATCTTACCAGGACTCCACTCCACTGTCTACTAATTGGCCGACTAATCTAGACACTGCGTCCCTGCTCCCTATGCGCTCCATGGCGCCTGAACTCGTTCCGAACGGGTAATAAACTCGACTCATATTAGTACGGTTCCCATAAGTGCAATTGACGCCTTATATATATAGTTAAGACTAAGAGTAACATTTTTGACTCAATACTCAGCCATGCATACATCGACAGGTTTGCCATGTTTGTCGGACCACTAATTAACTGCCATGTCAGTTAGTCAGACAAATTTTGCTAAATCTACAATCAACTCAATTTAACTGGTAACTGTCTATGGCCCAATTAGCAATAAAGGGCTAACTTGTCATTCTTCAACCCATGTTTTCGAAATGATTCGTATCGTAATCGAAAAACTTGTTTTGTCTTGAATAATTAAGACGAATCTCGTCTCGTCTCGTTATGTCTCGTTTCAAATCTGTCTGTCTCGTCCCGGTTCATAATTTACCGGGACACAAGTTTTAAGGTCCGGGACAGAAGTCTTGTCTCGGTTCATACGTTTATTCCGGGACAAATTTTACCCTCTGTCCCGTTATTTTTTTCCCGGAATTTTCTCGTCTCGTTTCGTCTGTCCCGGTTCATTTCGAGAAAATTATTTCGAGACGCAGGAGTCTATGGCCGCCATTCTTTTGGGGATTGAGGTATGTAAATTCTGCAAATAAAGTTTTCATGCTGACACTTGTCTGCCACTTTTTTCTAATCGAAATTTTATGTAATGCGGCAAATATATTTTTTTTTTTTACTACAGACCTTTTCAGAAGTAACTTTTCAAAATATTGTTTTTTACCATATTTTCAGGAATTTTTCAAAGCTAGTAAATGTAGTATTTTTGAACTTCCTTTATACTACATAGATAGGAAAAATGTTGACGTTTATGCCACTATATTTAGTTTTGCAATATTCCAATTAGTTTTGCTACTAAAACAGTTTGACGCCATATCGGAGGACTGTCCCGAGTTTCCCTGCCCATCCCGAGTAGCCCTGGTTGACGGTAGTGGCATAAACTTCAACATTTTCCTATCTATGTATTCTAAAGGAAGTTTAGGAATCTAGCCCTAAAAAATCCCTGAAAAAAATTTAATTTTGGAAAAGTACTAATGCTAAGGCTTGTAGTAAAAAAAAATATTTGCTGTATTAAAAAATTTTGCTTGAAAAATGTTGCAGACGGGTTTGCTTGAAAACAGAATTTTGTTACCTCAATCCAAACTAAATGGCAGCCATTTCTGCTTGAGTGTGTAATAAGGGACACCCTCCTGAGTAATACAGTATACACCCTTATAAATGCATTTACAGTAGAACCTTGGTTGGCAAAGGCTCCAGTTAATGAAAAAAACAATTATCAACAAAGAATTCTTGTTATATTTACCATTAATGCATCATCAGTTATCACAATCACAAAACTGTGCATAGAATGTCATAGATAGAAATGTGCGCCGGGCAACATAGAATGAAAAGTACCTAATTAACCAAAATTTTTATTTATTTCACCAAAAAAATGATGGTATTCACTAAAATATTGCTTTCAGTTTCAGGTATGTTATTTTACTATCTTTTTTGTTATAGCAAATTCACTTGACCCAATTAAAATGGTGCAAAATGGTCCTGTAAGCTTACAGATACAGAAGAAATGCTATATTGCTGTTGATATGAAAAAAGCTTGCAGTGGACAAAGTCATTGTCAATGCTCAAAGGCATATTTATGGATATGAAAATATCTTGTCAATAAAATGGTAATGCATGGATATGGTAACATCATATCAATAAAGGAGAAAGAAGTACAAATCACATAAAATGTCATTTATGCTACATCTATATTATCTACAAAGGAAGAGGAGGACTTCAGAGTACTGTTAGTAATGGATGAGTACACTCTGCATGCTTCAAACATTTTAAAATTAAGTTTTATTTCAAGTGTTCCAAATTACCCCGCTCCCAGAGGTAATTCGGGAAACTTTTCTTATGCGTCCGGCACTTTATGAATAGCATATGGAATTTTTTGGAGATGTCATATGATAGCCCTTGCAAAGACCTTTATAATGAGCCTGAACTTGTGTACAAAATTTTTTATGGTAAGAGGTTATTAATAAAAAAAACTCAATCATCATCCCTTATTAGCCAATTTGATGGTGCCTAGATTTGTATAAATTTTTACAAATATGAATGAAGAGCTATCTTGAAACAATTTAAATCCTTAGGATGAAATAGCCTGCTTTAAACTTTTAGTTGAATTTTATTTTAATTTTAAGCTTTATGTCCAAGTTTGTGAGATCTAATGATTGATGATAATTACTAATTTTTGTTCATTTTTAATTATTACTTTGTGTTTTTGTTTCTTGTGCAGCAATTGTCTGATCAGAAATTGGTTATTCTGATGTCAGAACTCAAGATTCAAGATAAGCAGGAGCTCACATTTAAGAAACACAAGGCAGAGGGAGGCGATAAAGATGGACAAATGGAAGCTCGTCTAAGGAAATCATTACAAGGTGAGATCTTGTTGTCTCTTCTTCTAATATTTTTATTCGGGAGTTTGTCTTGGTAGCAAACACCCATTGTTTATTCATATCTTTTTATGATGAATGTAATTTTCTTCATGCTTCCAATCATCTTCATTAATCCTCATCATAGCTGTTCAAAATTTAGAACTGAATTTATTTTGGCACCTACAATTATTTAGGTCATTTTTATGCCATATTTACTTATTCAAAAAACGGCTAATTACCAAAGGCATTAATATTAGCATCAAATATGAGGGCTCAGTTGAGATGGGTATTGAAGAAAAAGTTATTGCGTATTCATTATAGGGAATGTTGGTTTTTATATTAAACATTTCATTGAGATAGGAATGGAATTGAATGAAATGCTAAACTTTTAAACTTGAACCATTGAAACTTTTTTTACATATATGTACTTGTACTTTAAAAATTTGTTGAGGACAATTGTTCAGTGATGAGTAAACTTCATGGTTGCCACTCCAAGCACAAGGCAAAGTCTTGACTTTATTGTGACAGCAACATTCTCCATGGGAGCTGCATTGAAGTAGTGGCTTCTGAGGTATCTTAAAGGCTTCTAAACCATGACGAATTCAAATTGTGAAGCGAGAAGTTTTCCTTATTTCATTAATCTTCTGCTCTGCCTCTTGTTGCAACCTTTGTTTTACCATGTCTTGTGATTCAGTATTATGCGAGGCAAATTAAATTTTAAGATGCATTAATGATTTTTTTATTTTCAGAAATAATGTCGAAATACAAGTTGGGTCAACCGCAAGGGGATGATGAAACAGTCGCATTTATTGATTCAAACAAGCAGTCATTGGATGTTCTCTTCAAAGATAAGAAACTCAACAAACTTTGGGCTAAAGCAGAACAGTCTGGCTTTACACGTGAGTATGTATAATGGTACTCATTTTGGTAGCTACCAGCATGAACAACTGGCTGATGGCATGAATAAGCAATGACAGTGGCTATTTTTTGTAGCTATCATGATAACAACTGGCTGCTGGCATGAATGAGCAATGACAGTGGCTACATTTTAGTAGCTACCATGATGAACAACTGGCTGCTGGCATGAATGAGCAATGACAGTGGCTACATTTTAGTAGCTACCATGATGAACAACTGGCTACTGGCATGAATGAGCAATGACAGTGGCTATTTTTTGTAGCTACCAGCATGAACAACTGGCTGATGGCATGAATAAGCAATGACAGTGGCTATTTTTTTTTTGTTTGATGAGAAAAAAAAACAACTATTGTCAGATCAGTGAAATGTTTTTTTTTTCACTGTTTCTGAATGGAATCTTGAAATGATTGGTCAGAATTTCTAATTTGTTAACATGAAATCAAAATTTTTATCTGTTTCGAGAAGTAGCTAACAAGGAGTAAAGGTATTAACTAGTTAGCATCAAAAATTTCTTTTATACATTTGGTATGATGTGTTATATTTTGCCTTAGTTCATTGCTCTGTTGCAATTTCTTTAATTAGATGTCAATAAGTTTGCCTTCACAGCCACTATGACATGGTCATCCAGGAACTGGTTGTTGATTGAAGTCTTATAAACAACTCCCAAATTGATTGTTCTGAAGTAATTGTGAATGCATTGTAACAATTTTGACAAGCAACAATAATATAATATTTATTCATTAGTTAGATTTTTATTAAAATATGGAATTTCTAACTCGTTTCTTCATCAATTCATCATCATATACCTAAGCCTGTGTTATGAAACTTGTTAAAAATTTGCTTTATAGATATATTTATTTGTGACTAAACTTTTGTTCTAGAATCATTGAAACAATTATTTTCAACTGCCCTCTATCAAGGGCAGAATTACACTATTGCATAGAAAATATTCCATTATATTAAAAATATCAACATTGCAAAATTGAATTGTTTGATGACTCGTTAGAATTATTGTTGCATTTTGAACCGTCTCTTGATGAATGGTTTTATTTTATTTATTTTTTTAGAAGAATCTTGCCATTGTCTGTACTAAAAATTTCATTCCATTTTATTCCAGAGGAAGAACTTAAAGTTTTAAAAGATGAATTCCAGCACCACCAAGACAAGATTGATCAGTACTATGACTTGCTTCAGACTCATAAGGATTCTTCTAGTAAAAACAGTGAGTTGTAGTTCACATAATTCCATCGTGGAATTATGTATTACATTACCATCTAGGCAGGGTGGCCCAGTGGTTAAAGTTCAGAGTACCAAGACTGGCGCAGAGAGGCGCGGGTTCGATCCCAGCTCTGTGCGCCAGTTTCTGGTCAGAATCGGCAAGGAGGCCGGGCGGGTAAGCACAGCAGAATTGTAGCAGTGAGTTGCGAGTTCGAGACCGCAAAATGCTGTGAATGTTCTGCGATGTTAAGAATCGGCGACAGGCCTACGGCCTAATAAACGCTGAAACCGCTATTATTATTATTATTATTATCGTAATGAGCAGGTAGAATCTATGCTTCTTGATCCTGTCAGTCAGTTAGCAGAACTGCAGGTGGGCTCTGCAGCAAAGTTCTCATATTTGCAATCATTGAATATTATTCATATTGCAATTTAGAATATTTATGAACATGGGAATTTTAATGGCCAAATAAATTATGGTATCTTTCTTAACTGATTTCTGTGTAGAAGTGTGCAGCGCATTTAAATGTACATGTCCATAACTTTTTGATTTAGGAATGCAGCTTGTAAAACTTCAATCCTAAATCCTGTATGCTTGATATATTGCTGTTTGATTCTAAAGATTGAATGATAATTGCTAGAAAAATCATTAAGAACTTAAGCTTGAATTTTTTGCAAACTTATGCATTTTCAGGTTCTGAGTTTAGTCTAATTTTTGTCTGCAAGTATTACCTGGTATTTTTGCAAGTTTTATGATATCTCTTAATTTGTTTCTCTGTAAACAGATGAGCTACCAACCCTCGATGACCTGGACAGCTTAGAAAGCAATGAGATTCCCACACCTGAAGGAAGTTCCATCAACGAAATCAGGTATATTTTCAGCTTTGATTGTTCGGACCTTGCTAAGGTTGCATATTTATGTGTGATGCTATTCTACAAAATATAGTATCTAATGACTGTCATTTTGGTATATTATCAGTTGTTTGTGTTTAACTCATACTTCTCAGCTGAGAATACTTTTATTTGCACACTTAATCTTCAACAGGCGCCAATGTTTGTTTGAAGTTGTGCTGTAAAAGTTGTGGTATTGTATTTTCTACGTTCTCTTCTGGGCTTATCCCAGCGGTAAGAAGAGTTAAGCTTTCAATAGTTTGGTCAGATAAGAGTATTTCGCCCACTTCATCTGAGATATGGTCATTTTTGGGTTTTAAAAATCGCCAGTTTTCAAATTCTGAATGCTGCTCTCAATGTCAATTTACCAGTGGAAGGACTTCAGAGTTATTTCCTTAGAATCTACATAGTAATCTTGGAAATTTTCAGAGGCAAGAATCGCGGTCTCAAGGACAGCTACCACAACTTACATAAACTCGTGGCGCGAGGCGCAGAGAGCAAAGAGTTCATCGAGCCTAAAGTAGCAGGCCTGTGGCGCCTGGCTGCGGCCGCAGACTTCACGCAGGAGGAGCTCGAGAGTCTGCATGTGAGGCTCAAGATCAGGGCATTTCTCGTTATTTGTTACCGATATACTAAAAGGAAAATTAAAGTGGAATATATTAGCCGGTACCCGTGGCTTGAAGAAACTTTAGGGGTTGAGACATGAAATGTACATCATCTTTATTTTGTAGAATTGTACCCTAATTGCCCGCAACCATGTTTTAAATGTCATACAGTGGGGGGAAATAAATATTTGTACACTTGAAAAATCGTATTTTAATGTATGTAGGTACACAAACTTAACAGGAAAAGTGATTTAAATTATGTATAGAGACGCATAGTATTCAAAAATACTATCAAAAGAAATTAAATCTCAATGCAACAAAAAACAATGCAACATGTTCACTTTTCGGTATGGTTACTGATTACATTACTGGAACGTGCTACATGTTTCTAGTACATTTTGGAATGTTCTGGTGTGAAATATTAGTCAAAAGTTGTTTTGTACGAATACTTTTTTGACCCGAAGAAGTTAACATGTTGCATTAATTTTTGTTGCATTGAGATTTAATTTCTATTGATGCTATTTTTGAATACAATGCGCCTCTATACATAATATAAATCAATTCTCCTGTTCAGTTTGTGTACTTACATACATTAAAATACGATTTTTCAAGTGTACGAATATTTATTTCCCCCCACTGTATATATTGTGACAAACTATCATGATAATTTTGGAAATTGGTCTCATGCAAACCTGTTTTCAGACGTGAACATAATTCTGGGTCTCGGTTAACTTTATTTTTGAGCTGTTTACTAGGCAAGACTTATTGCAGACGGAGTTGCGTCACTACGAGAACCGCCTGCTGAAGGTGCGTCACCTGACGGGGCAGGTCTTGAAGCTGCACAAGCCTGCCGCCGACGACGAGGAGCATCCAGACCACGACATCAGACTTGAGCAGAAGCTCCTGCAGGTGCGGCCTCCCGTGACCAATTGGAGACTAAGATATAACACGTGACGGGGTCCCGTCCCGGCGGGGACTTCCTGTTCCTGAAAGTTACATCACAAATAACTTTGTGTCGTTGCCAGGTGTTAAGAGTATAAACCTTTTGTGGCTTTCAAGTTCCTGGCGAAAAAATTTTTTTTTACTGAAAAAGTGCTAAAGGCACACGCGCGCCCGTCTCCTTGTTTGCCTGGAAATTGTAAGGGAAAGAACTGAACGCTTGCATGGCGTTCAAAATTTCTAGAACTCAGACTTCTGCGGCTTTTACAACCACCAAGAAGAGAACAAATTTCAAGAAGAGAACAATTTGTTCATGTGAATCCCTTGAAGATTCTGCTCATTACTAGATTTTTTTTTATAGAAATAATAAAACCATCCTCATTGTCCATTCGCACCTACACATCCGAAGTCGTAAATTTATTTGTCCAACTTTCACAGTAAGTTGTTACAAAAAAAAAAAAAAAATCTCCGTGTTGCTGGCCAGCTGTGAGAAAAAACTTCTTGTTCCTAGTAAATTGTTTGAGAAAGAATTACGTGATCCAGAGAGAACGGATATCCACCGTGGGATTGATAGCAGAGATATCTGGCCCTTTAACAGAGATCCAGTCGTGATACTGTTAATGTGGCTGATGCTTTGATCTTTTGGTGCTGTATGCGGTTGGAAGCAGCCACCTCCTTCCAACATTGAAATGGTCGATCGTCGTTCGTGTTGATCAATGGGCCGACACAAATTCATATCATGGCTGGCAATCGTCCCTCATTTCATCATTTACAAATTCTCAAATTATTAAATCTGTGGATAACTTCAAAAGTTATCTTGATCGCGTCATGAGCCTGCACAAGAAGACTGCTGTCAAATGGGGCTAGCTGAGATTGATCGATTTGCTAAATTATGGTTGTTTGTATGGTATGGATAATTTTCCAATTTGTATCACATGTAGCATTTTAGCGAAACATCTAACAATATTTAAAAGGAAGACAATCAAACATTTTACTTTTCGTGTATTTTCTCATTTATGGAAAAAACGGCGCTATTGTGCTCGTCATGTCCGTCTTCCTGTCTGTCCGTCTGTCTGTCTGTCCGTCTGTCTGTCTGTTCGTCTGTGTGTCTCCGTCCGTCCGTCTGTCCGTGACTTCACGTTTTCGTCGACGAGAAAATGCGCTCTCTGTCACTCACAGCAGTGAGTACTGAGTTATATTTTTTTAATTTTTAATTCATTTCATGTATCTCGTTTTATGTTACTGCTTCAAATTTCTCAGGGAGTAACATGTGATTGAAATAAGTTCGCTACACATTCCCTACAGTTTTGATATTTCAGCGATTTTGATTTGGGTCGTAGCGTCCTGAAAAAATATTCAATGTTTGCCTCGGCTCAACACATGTTCTTATTGAATGGTTATCAAAGGAAAAGGGAGGAGACGTTGTGCAGGAAAGATTGTACAGGTATGATGATACGGGATGGAATAAGGCGAGTTGAAATTGTTGGGCCAGTTTAGGAGAGACAACGTGGATTATTTAATTTATTATAGTTGTGCAGTGTCTCTGTAACTTTAGGCAGGTATTTTAAGCACGAGACATTTTCATTTATTTTTTAAAATCAAAATTATTGTTTGTTTTTTTTCTCTTAACACCGCTCCAACTTCCAGTCTCTCCAGCCTCTTCCTCTCTTCCTCATCCTCCAATCGTCAACTTTATATTTTCATTCTCAGTCATGATAGCAGTAACTCCTGACAAACTTTCCATCTTTGCAATCTATTCATCATATTTACTCTTATACATCTTGTCATTAACCTCACCCATCTCATCCAGTATCGCTCTCAACATCCCTAACGTTTCTCTCTCATTTGCATCACGCTCCATCATCAGGTATTCCACTGTTTCCATCACGCCTACATCTTAAAAGTTGGATACTATCTCGTGTTCGGATAGTTGACAGGTTCTATGCACATTTTATACAGTGTTTCATTGCATTTTAATGTGACAGTAATTGTTAGGATTAATGACGTTTTGTTTGGTATAGGTGAGCGAGAGCGAAGGTGAACGTCTGCTGCAGGAGCGTCTCGCCAAGCAGCGTCGCACCGTCGAGAAGCTGCACGAGGATCTGGAGACGCGCATTCTACAGCGGCACTCCGAGCTCTAGGAGCATCCTTCTACCGGTGCCAACCTACAATGCTTCTTGTATTGTCATTCAGAGCTCTAGGAGCATCCTTTTTACTTGTGCTATCCCTGCAATGCTTCCTCTAGCGGCACTCCGAGCTCTAGGAGCATCCTTCTACCGGTGCCAACCTGCAGTGCATTTTGTACCGGCAATTAGAGCTCTAGGAGCATTCTTTTTACTTGTGCTATCCCTGCAATGCTTCCTCTAGCGGCACTCCGAGCTCTAGGAGCATCCTTCTACCGGTGCCAACCTGCAGTGCATTTTGTACCGGCAATCAGAGCTCTAGGAGCATTCTTTTTACTTGTGCTATCCCTGCAATGCTTCCAGTAGCGACAATCTGAGCTCTAGGAGCATCCTTCTACCGGTGCTAACCCGCATTGCCTACTGAAGCGGCATTCCGAGCTCTAGGAGCAACCTTCTACCTGTGCCAACCTGTAATGCTTCTTGCATCAGCATTCAGAGCTCTAGGAGCATCCTTTTTACTTGTGCTATCCCTGCAATGCTTACTGCAGCGGCACTCCGAGCTCTAGGAGAGCAACTTTCTTACTGGTGCTAAGCTGAAATCTCTGTTGCACTTGTGTAACTACTCTGCTGTCCTTATTCAGTTCCGTGCTCATTGTGTTTCATGCATCATTCTTGTACAATTTTACACACTTTGGAAAGTCGGAGCAGCTGTCCTCTGATGTCGTAGTATTTTTTCTATAAGTTCATTATTCATTCCTATGCGCCTATTCCTTCTCCATACTATGGTATTCGCTTCGAACTTCGTTCGCGAGTGAATTCAACGAATTAATGACTGTTAATCTTTATATCACGTCGCGCTTCCATTTGACACGCTGATTTTGTTGTATGTGGAAATCATCTGATGAATAAGCACTCCTGGCGGGGCTAAGGCCTCAAGTGAGTTGATTTGTACCATGTCAATTAACATGGGCGAGAAGGACGAAAATGAATGTCGTTCATATGGGCATTTCGAGTGACAATTCTTCAGCTTAACAAACTATGGGTCGCACCATCAAACTCACTTACGTACACGTAACTGCCAATTTATCGTCTGTGATTGGTGGGTTTAGCCTGGAAAACCGCCGGTGATTGTCTGACGGAGTTAAGAACTCATAATTATTTTTGTATTTTCTGCGTCAGAGCTCAAACCGGGAACTTTTCTACGCTCATGTTGGGAATTTTCATCGATGCCTAAGTAGTCACGAACGAATATCTTCTGAGTTGGTGAATAATGTGTCCCTCATTGTCATTTAACAATTGCGATTGTTGAGCATTATGTGTAAAATGTTTGTATTGTCACTGCAGTACCTGCTTGCATTGAGAATCTCCTTATATATGAACTTGTTAACAGCCCTGCGCCCACTATTTTGATATGAGCTGTACGTCATCGTCAGACGAGGTAAAGTCCCCTGCTTCTGACGGACACTCGACAATGCAAGTGCAGGATACAGTTCACGGAGAATGTGAAATTTCGGTGTTTCTGAGTTACGATAAACTCGTGCAATTTTGTTATATGGCCTAATTTTATATAAAATAATTTATTTTCCGTAATTATTGTGCGATTTGAGGTGTGAGCTTATATGTTATTCATCTTTAAAAATGTCATGTATCGAGGCCTGAAATTTTAGTTATTGTTATAATAAAATTTGATTTTCCTTGCCCATGAATGCAAAAAATTAAATCGAATTGTGTTCATTTTTTATTCATGCCACGGAGTGATTCACTTTTTGGAGTGATTCACGGAAACTTTGCATTTCGCTGCAAACAGCCTGATGTCTGAAAAGGGCGGGGAGTTATTCATAAGAGACGCAAGGTCATGAATGATTGACGTGTTTTATTTTTTTGTGCCAAAACTGGCTGAAATGAATGCCAAGTATGTCTGGTGGTTCCAACAAGATGGAGGCACGCCACACACAGCGCGATGTTCAATGGATCTTCTGAGACAACATTTTACAGAGTGCCTCATCTCCTTGGGATGTGACCTTTGGCTGGCTCGATCCCCCGATTTGGCTCCATAGATTTTTTTATAGGGTTATCCCAAATCGAATGTTTGCAATGACTGTACAAGGATCCTACTTTATTTGAAGAACAACATTTGCCAGGCTATGCCCAATATGCTTCAGTAAGTTGAACGGAACTTAAAAAAAAATTTTTTAACTTAATGCATTGATGAAGATGGCCGGCATTTGTCCGATGTCATCTTGAACACTATGTGTTATAAAAATTCAGGTAAGGTTTTTTCAATAAAATTCATATTGAAAAGATATCTTCACTAGTTCTTTATATTAAGCTTTCCACTCGGGCAGTTTCAGTGAAGCATTCTGTAGTAAGACTTGAAGAAAATTTGTACCTAAAGTCAATGAGAACGAAACGTCTCACGGGCCGAAGCTGCATCAAGTGACTAACTTCAAACAGGCCGGAACAGAATCTTACCTCTGTGTTTTACATCGCACATTCTGGCTTAATTAATACATTATCATTATCTGTCTACCAACACTTAGAGAGGTTAAGCTATCGATTAGTTGACAGGAGGCGCATGCCCCATGTACGACCATCGGTCGGATTTTCTTTCCTTCTGGCTCAGAGACAACACTGGCCACGCTACTCCTTTTTACGCCAAATTCGGTCTGACAAAATTTATTGTCAATTCATCAAATCTATTCCGATTCGGCACTGTTCAACAACGAGATAAAACCTGTTAGAGTTTAGACTATGGGAACCTTAAAAAAGCTTAACTTTAGTTAATGCTTTTAACGCCAATATTGTAATCTTGACTTAGTATAGTTTTGTGTAGTGATGAAACCGCTCGGCCACCTTTCCGATGCGCCTTGACTTGACGTTTCGGACAATTTTACGGCCCGACTCGCGGCCGGAAAATATGCTCTTAGAAAAAATAACCACGTCTTTTTAGTTAACGGTGATTTCAAATGTCCAAGGTCGACAGAAATGTGACAATGGTGGTGCGTTATTGGATTTCGAGTTGATTTCCTTAATGATGGCATGGGCGGCGTTAAATGTTTGTACGTTTTTATTTTAGCGCTCACTATATCGGTTAGGTTTTATCATGCGACTAAAGCACGCCTGTGCTACCTAACTTTTGGAATTTGTTGCCTATCAAGATGAAATAATCATGCATACTCGATATATCGGTGTCGTGCTTGGTAAATTCCTAATATTAAATATGAAATTCAGAATACACCGTTGATTTAAAAGATGCCTAATAATACAAATCAATTTTTTTTATAACTTTTGAAATATTTATATGTCTCTCTGTGAGCAGCATACAATACCTAAGACGAAAAACTTATATTTGAAAGGAATGAACATTACCCAATAATTCGGACTCGTCGATATTCCTTGGAATTATAAATTAACATGGTAACGGTAATGTTGGGTGAAATGATACAATCGCCCCAGTGTACAATAATGTTTAATACTGAATGCAAAGCTTAAGCAAACGAAAAATAATTTAGTTACTAGGTGATCTGAAAATTTTCCATCGCATTAATTGTAGACAATTTTGTTCATTACTGCAAATCAGTGTCGGAATTGAAATTTTCGATATGAAGAATGTTTAGACTTTCTATGAGTGGCAACATTTCTATCAGATTGTTTTGGTTGTGGATGTCGCTGGATTGATTTTGCGGCTCCAATAAAAAAACTAAAATGGTAAGATATTAAATTGCTGATTTAAATATGTGAGGCTGAAGTGTTTATATATTTTTAATGAGATAATGAAAATTGTTTTCGTGTGTAACTGAGTTTAGCTAACCACTAACCAGTGAGAGGCAGTGATACGGACACCTAGCCTAATAAATTTTGAGTACCTACCTAGATGAAATTGGTGTGTCAATTACTGCCAACAAATTTTAATTATAAATCCTCGATATGTCTATGATATTCAAAATATTCTGATATTGGAACAGAACAGAAGATATTTCTCAACAGTCAACATACGTCTGCTTGTAAGAATTAGGTAGGTAGGCCTAGTACCTAGCTAGGTATTCAAACTTTCAAATCAAAAGATGATTCCTAATCGTTGATCATCTATGATTTATTGACTTTAAAAGATTATTGATGATTCATGGCATAGTGGCAAACCAGAGCTTTTTTAGAATCAGTTCATCTTTAATTTCCTCATTTACTCAAGATTTAAACCAATTTCTTAAGTATGATAATGCTGGTATCCAGGTCCCAGGATACTTTACTGGTCTACTTATAGGGCTCAGAAATGAACTTGAGGGAGAGTCTAAAAAACTCTCTGCTTTGCCACTATGATTCATGGTTCTATATAGACGATGGATGTATATTTTTAGATCCATAAAAAATTGTAATGAAATGATTTCAAATGGAATTTTCAGTTGCCTCTCAGACTCAGGCCCTTTAATTTTAAATGTTACTGTTACCATTAGGTAGGTAGGTATTCCATAGGAATCCCGTATTTTCAAAAAAATTTTTAACAAGGGGTGTACTATTCTAATTGCAAATGTGATCTACAACTTCATCTTCAATATTGCTGTGAATGCTGTCCTGTCCCATCATCAGTTTGATCTAATTTAGCTAAATTTGGAAAAATATCAGTTCCATATTTCTATTGCAATATCATGAATAGGTAGCCTATGCTATCTTTGTGCATTGAGAATAATTTGAGATGGACTTTACAATGGGATGGTGAACTAGGTGAGATGGGGATATAGATTTTTCCATACTTACCCAGCTATTTATTTATAAGCGTTGACCAGGTAACAAGAAATATGTAAACTTTGTATTAATAGAGTTTTAATGAGAGGAAATTTCAAGAAACTTTGAATATTATTGTTCATCAAGTCTGCGAATTTTACACTTTTTTCGAGATATAAACGGGTTGTAATTTTTATTGTCAATTGAATGGTATATTCGGCATTCCTTGATCAGCTTCCTTGTTATAGATATTTTCCACCAAAAAATATTTATGATTTGTGCAATGTTTGAGGGGAAAGAGACGTCGTAAATTACTCCAACTGTCAGTTCACAACGGGTGGCATGGTAAAGGCGAAGTCAATGAGGGGCGAAGAATAATACGTGGCCAGTGGTCGGCTTATCCAATTAGTTATAGCCGACCGTTGGCCATTCCTCGGCCACCTGAAAGCAACCAGTTCCTGCGAAGAAGGGTCTGGCTAGGATATCATATTACAAAGAGTACAAGCTCGAGGGTAGCGACTGGCCGAGCTTCGGGCAGATCAAGGATTTTACACGATGGTCGCGAAAACCTCCCTCTCAGACTTCGCTGCATTTTGACTACAACCTTAAGGACATAGCAAGAAATAAATGCCTATAAATAGATCACCGTATGCGCAACTCGAGTTTTGATTGGTTTACATCGCTCTCTACGAGGGTGCAGAGGCCCTGCCAGAGGGTGGATGCAGCATTGCCAATATATGGGCTTTTAAGCCCTAAGTGTTGCCGGGTAATTTTAAGAAGCGTCGCCGGGTAATTTTAAGAAGCGTCGCCGGGTAATTTTAAGAAGCATCGCCGGGTAATAATTTTAAGAAGCGTCACCGGGTAATTTTAAGAAGCGTCACCGGGTAATTTTAAGAAGCGTCGCCAAGTAATTTTTAATGAAAAACTATTTACAAGCCACAAACTTGTTTACAAGGTTGCATGCACGTCGCACATGTTACCCCAAATAACTAATTTTACCATAAAAACAGTCTGATTGTATAGCAAGTGTCAACTAAACATGCAATAATGCAGTCTGACCACTCTGATGTGACTGCAACTACGTAATCGTAAACTTGATGTTTAAATTTTTTTTTGGCGGGAACTTATCGCAACTGGTTTCCAGACAAGCTTCACTGCATCCTGATCCATCCAACATACCAGAAACCTTACTTTTTTTAAAATAGTTGGCCAAAGACTGACAAATATATTAAATGCAAGAATTTAAATCTAAATGTGTTGGCAAGATCTTCTGAAGGCGTAAATTTTGCTACTGAAGCATCAAAGATCTTGCAATATTCATCCACTCTCTGCACAGTGGGCTCTCTAAACACCACACTATGCGCCAGCAATGATGAAATGTCACAAACTGTTGCCATATTTATTTAAAAGCCTTTAGAATTCAAATCTACCAAATTGCTGAACTCTGACACTGTGTTTGGCTAAATATGGCATATTGTGAGACTACTTCCGACAGTGCTTCAAAAACGTAATTCGTAATTCCAACACCCTGTGTCGGAATACAACATCCTGTGTGTTGTAATTCTGACACCCTGTGTCGGAATTAGTTTTTATGTGTCTAAAACCATCTCTTAAATCAATCATGTAGCTATTAAGTTATTTACCATTTAAAATCAGCAAATACAAGTATACATAAAGGATTCCTATTATATTCACAGACTTGTTTAAAAATCTCAAACCATAATATTCTTTCTACACAAACAGTTTATCACTATTTAGTAAAGCAAGGTCAACTATCAACTTTCATATGCGTTTCAATGTTCCCAGTAGCGGACTTGGACTTTTGCTCTGCTTATCTTAACATTTTCCGGTAGACCTAGTGTTTTGTGGAAATCTTGCAAGCAATAGTATGATGTCACTATTTCAACCATCTACGCATGTGTGGAACTAAGACCAAGCTTGATATAAAGGAAAAAGTTGAGGGGTGTCAGAATTACCCACAGAGGTCAGAATATGGTGTGTTTATGCTATCATGTGAATGATCATGGCATTTGCTAGTGTAAAATACTGTGCTGTGCCACAAGTCCAATTTGGAATATTGGATAGAAGTTACCCAATATTTTGGGTTTAAATGATAATTTCAAAAGTGACTTTCTGAAATTATTGGTAGAAATAGGTCATTGTAATTGTTTATATTTTCTTATTCTACTGAAGAAATTGGGAACAGCCCATAGAAATGGGTGAAAAGGGCCAGATTCACAGGCATTTTGGCCAATTCACAGCTGGCTTTTGCCACCTACTCCAGCTAGGCTGCTGTTCCATTTTCTTGTAACATGATATTGAGCTAAGGAGCTTGAATACAAAAAAGCTAAAAAGTAGTTCCAACTTAAAATTTTCAATATCTTTTTTAGTATAGATTTTTGGTGTTTCAAAACCAGTTTGGGAGGTTGGTCCAAATTTCATGAAAAAAGTGAGTTTAAACTATTGTTTTATGGATGAATTTCACAATTTTCTGGTGAATATGTCAACTTTTTCTTGATATTTATGAAAGAAATGGGCTTGAGCCATAAACATAGGTTAAATTGCCACTGTTGACATGGCTGTTTTTGTCTTCAAAAGTTGCTTACTTGCTTATACCAAATTTTCCAGAATGTTTCAATAAAACCTAATACAAGTGTTCTTTTCTGGAAAATTGGGTAGAAAAATCCATGAATGAGAGAAGAAAAGCCCACATTTATTGTTAATTTTACCAATTTTTTGACACGTGCATAAATTATTGCTTAAAGTGTTACAGGGCACATTTTTTCTTGCCAGTGTTTGTAATTCTTACCACTTATCAATTCTTATTTAATAAAATTTTCTGTCAATGCATAGTTACTTATCAAGCGTGATAACAATGCAACCGCTGTGCCATAATAATATTGTTTCTCCTTCGTTGCAGGTGAACGTACCGAAGTCGCGCCGCACTTGCTGCACCAAGTGCAAGAAGCATCAGGTCCACAAAGTAACACAGTACAAGAAATCTAAGGTGGGCATCTTGGATTCTGTTTGAAACTCTTTGAGATTTTAAGTAATGCTTACTGCGCACTAATTAGGATCATCTTGATAGAAAAATTGAACTATTGAATTAGAGGAAGCTCCTCTTATTAGCTCTATTTTCTTGTAAAGTATGGGGGCAGTGAATATTGAACCCATTCTCAAGTAAGCAAATCTCAATCAAGTGTAGGAGAGCTGCTTATAAGTAGATCTTAAGATGAATGTTGAAAACTTTTTCCTTATATCTTCAATATATCTCCGTATATGGAATGTTAGGAAGAATATCCATAAATGCAATTGGGGGGCTTGAAACATACAGGCACAGAACAATAACTTGAACAGGCTACAACTATTGGTTGACAAGAGATCTTTAAATGGTCTAATTTAATAAAGTGGTAATGCATGCATAAAAATTCATGATCATGCATAATACTCATGATACATTATTCATGTATCACACATTATTCATGATCATGCATATTATTCATGATACATTATTCATGTATCACACATTATTCATGTATCACACATTATTCATGATCATGCATAAAAATGTTCCATCTCATTTGTGCCACTGAGGGGGCCCTAATACAATTTCAATTTTGTTCTCAGAACGACTAATTTTAATCAGCAACATGGCCGTGTTTTATGTCACACGCTGCATTATATCTAAGGTTTGCATTTGCAGAGCGTGTATTTTGATTATGCTTTTTGTGTGTAGGAGAGGAGGTTCTCCCAGGGCCGTCGCAGATACGATGCCAAACAAGCTGGCTTTGGTGGCCAAACCAAGCCGATCTTCAGGAAGAAGGTAAGAGCTTAGTTTTAATCAGATATTGATTTTTTACCTGGTTAATTATTACTTTTTAATAATCTCAAATTTTCCGACGTCGTAATTCCAAATAGATAGCCTTCTTGAGAAAGTTATGCGTTGATGCTAGCCATGGTTGAGAAAAGCGTAGTATAAAATATTAAAGTTCATATTTATATCGATATGAAATACCGTACTTAGAAAGGACTCTGAAAATGTCAATAATTGCTTAGATCCTGTAGTTCTATGAATTGAAGTTTCATCTAGAGTTTGCATCATATTATGGACAAAAATCGATGCGAAAGGCACCGCGTAATTGTGCCGATAAAAAATAGGCTCGTCATTCTTGAATTATCTATGCACATTCTCTATCACACACAGCATGGTCGAAGCTTTTGTCGAAATTTATTGAATTTTAATTTATCATTGCTCGTCTCAAAGCAATTGTTTCAGATGTCTGAAATTAGATGAACATCTACTAGATATTAAATTTTTTTAATATTTGATAGCATGCCACTCAACTGTTGAGTACAAGTATCAATTACGACGCTAGAATCTAATCCCAACTTAACATGGTAGCTGTGAATGAGTGTTTAAATCTTGTCCTGTACAACAGGCTAAGACCACCAAAAAGCTGGTCCTCAAGTTGGAGTGCTCCAAGTGCAAGCTGAAGCGTCAGCTCCCCATCAGAAGATGCAAGCATTTCGAACTTGGCGGTGACAAGAAGAGGAAGGGACAAATGATTCAGTTCTAAATCTTTCTCCTCCAAAAATGTTACCTGCGAGTGATGTCGTTTTTGTTATTTATCCTCTGTTCTAAAGCCGGTTTTCAAAACTGGCGACATCCTTACGCGGGAACATAGCATTCTTACCCCCAAGCCATGTGTTGAGATGACGCGCGTTACCAGGTAATTATTCTGATATTTCATTCTGCTACAGGCCAGTATCTTCGCTGCGTAAATGCGATTGAATCAATAAGAACGAGCTTCTCGGGTCGCGAACCTAGTTAGCCTCGTCATTGAGAATGTAAATCTATTTCGCTAGAAGTTTTTTGAATGACTAATCATGTGGTCAATTAATTCGCTTGTCCTGTGCGTTTTTGTAGTTATCAGTGCCGCCCTGCTTACGATCGCTCCCGGGTAAGCTTGCCGCTTACTCAGGAAACAATTCAGGCTTGAGTAAATCGGGCATCCTACTAGTTTAGCAAGCACCGCCTGTCTCGAGTAGGTGGACTTCCAGTCAAATCGTCTGCCCAGCATTCCCCTTAGTATTTCGCGTCATCTGTGATGGTCATTTGTAATCAGGCGGACTTTTCTGGGCCTTCTGCTCATTTACTTTATCCAGTTGTGCGTGCGTGATTGTTGCCTAACAACAGTGAGCGCACCACACTGCGTTACCCACGACATTTCTTCTGTGCAAAATTTTAAATTTTAGTACCATGAAAAATCGATAATGTTGATTATTTCTGCCCAGGGGTTGAGACGTATTCGCAAAGGAGGCTGTATAGGCAGGTTCAGCCAGGGTTGAACTAATATTAATTCAACCCTGGGTTCAGCTGCTCTACGATAAGAGTTCCGTACGCTCTCAGTCAACTTCGAAAGCTTACATCAGAAACTGCATCTGCTCAATAGACCACCTTACTAACTGGTGCACGGCGATAATTTGCGTTGACTCGATAGTTTAAAAACTTTTATTATCAAAATGAGATAGGTAACTGGGACATTTGTCGGCCACCGTTTGCTACAATGATTACAGTATTGCATTCGCATTATCTTGTAATCATGAAATTGAATATTACCAAAACGAAATGAAACGATGGTACCAAAGTATTGAGATTGCAAAAAAGAGAGCAGAGCCTCTATTTCGTCCGCTATTTTGAAATTTTAGACAAATGATAGAAATTCTAATTTAAAAATAGATCGGCGTGATTTTATTTTATAAAATACATTTTACCGACAAAAATAACAGTACCGTACGTATCTGGTAACCACCATTAAATCACACTATGTTGCTAGTTCTCATGGCCAATCGGATGGACGAAACCTGAAACATGGTTATTTACAAATTTCCTGTTAATTAGTATTAATGTCGTAACTTTCACTTCACTTTAACTTCAGCTCGAAAGCCCCCCACCAACCGGTAGGGTATGCACTGGAGAAGCAGCAAAGAAAACAGCGCTGACACTCGTTCAGTGGAATAGCTGGGTCATAGAAACAGCAGCCACTCTGTGTATACTTCCAGGAGACAATGCTCGGAAGCCTTACCACGATCCCACCGCAGAACTACCATATCGAGACCTCAGATTTGCCCAACCCTAGACCCGAACTCCTGATCCTGATCAGACGCGACACAGCGTGCCTCAGACCGTCGATTACCTTCCACCTGCAAGTAATGGCCGTCCAGACATGCATAAATAATAGAATATAATCAATAAATACAATAAATGCACACAATCTGTAATATATATATTCCATCAGGCACAGACCGACCCTATAGGAGATGCGGGACCTGCACGAGCAGCTACCCGAGTTCTTTCTAATCCTCGGGGACCTCAATAGCAAACATACTGCCTGGGGCAATAATGTTATAGACCAAGTAATAATATAATAATAGCGGTTTAGCGTTTATTAGGCCGTAGGCCTGTCGCCGATTCTCAACATCGCAGAACATTCACAGCATTTTGTGGTCTCGAACTCACAACTCGCTGCTTCAATTCTACTGTGCATAACCGCCCGGCCTCCTTGCCGATTCTGATCAGAAACTGGCGCACAGAGCTGGGATCGAACCCGCGCCTCTCTGCTCCAATCTTAGTACTCTGAACTGTAACCACTGGGCCACCTTGCCACAAAGGAAGGACTAACAAACACTTCGTAACAAAGAGGAAGAACTAACAAACAGCAACATCTGCCTCCCGAACGCAGGTGAAACCACCAAACCACCCACCTGCATGTACCGACGGACACATCAGCTATGTGCCAGAGTTTGTGCACACCCGACATCGTTAGTGACGCCCGATGGAGGGTGATGAGCGACACTTATGGCAGAGACCACTTCCTAGCCATACAGATTTTGCTATACATCAACCTGTAGCCACTGAAACTAGATACATCATACGGAGAGCTGATTGGAAGACCTTCAGAGCAATAACCCCACATGCCGGAACCAGTACAGGCCCTGTCTGGTTGAGAGATGACGGGAAACTCCACAGATCTTTCTCATAACTTCGAATGTAGCGATTTCTTGCTAAAGTCCCCCTGGCGACAAGGAATACTTCATAGAATCCATCCACAGGATGGAATCAAAGGCAATATGACAAAGTTTATCCAAGAATTCTTACGACAGCGTCTCTTTAAAGTAAAAATGGGCACATAGTTATCACCTCTGCAGACAGAACCAGGAGGTATTACAGGGCACAATGTGAGCTGCACTCTTCCTAATGGCAATCAGTGATACAACCACCTCTTCGCCTCCGAACGTACCATCGTCACTACATCACTCTCCCTTTAAGACAGACCGATCACGCTATCCTCAACAGCTAAATTCCTCGGGATGGACTTTTGATTGCAGGCTCTCATGTAAACCCCACATACAGGCTCTGAGAGGCAGCTGCCTAAAGAGATATAATCTTCTGAGGCACGTAGCCAAGTTGACATGTGGAGACAGACTAACCATACTCCTCTACACATGCTTCTACAGAGCTATCATTAGATCTAAGTTAGACTACGGGTGCATGGTATACCAGTACGGCAATAAAGCAACCATATACAGTACTTATGGACTCGACCTACGCATAGCTCAACTTACGCTCGAGCTAATAACCCGCCTCAAACAACTACCCTAACGTGGTGCAGCGGTTTGACCGACGGTCAATCAAACATACTTTCATACCAAATATCATAGTTTGAAGACTACGAAATACTATTGGAAGCAGCACAGATCCCACAGATGCGAGTGGTACCTGTAAACGTGGCGAATAACCATAGATTTTTCTACCCCTAATAAAACTATCCACAAAAACCCACAACACACCCAGCTGATCTGTAAAACCTGTATCTAAACCATGTTTCCTATGAACATGCGGTCAACGCTTCATATAAGATGGCGCAGTGGGATGTGCGGCTGGGTCCGGTGCCACTACGATCTCAAAAAATAACTCAATCCTAACTCATCGATCTTCACCACCAAACTCGTAGGAGTACTTAGCTCTTTGACCTTTATAGAAGACCTATAATAGGATAACTTCACCCCCATCATCGTGGATATCCTGGCGAGGCTGACAGGGAAGGCGACGGCGGAAATTTGGTGGCGTCTACTGGCTCCGGGGCCACGTGGGGTGCGTGGGAACTAGAGGGCGGAGGAGTCAGCAGTTAGAGCGGCCACGTCCGACATGACGATCTTCAACGAAGTAGTCCAAATCGCGACTACTACTCTATAATAAAAGCAGGCATTCATAAAGTGTGGCAAGAGCCGTGGCGAAATCTTGAGTGAAACAAGTTGCGAGCCCTGACGGACAGTATTCGAACCAGGAATTCGTCTTCGTCTTACCAGAGATCACGTCGCCTGGAATTGGCTCTGTGCAGGGGAACCCATGGGAACTTTATGGAACATTGCCCAATGCCTTACTGTAACGACTGTCCTGTCCCCCTGACAGTACTGCACATGATGACAGAGTGCCCCAACTACAGCATCACCCGAAGAAAGAGCTTGGCTGATACTATTCTACTGAACTCGGTCGAAACCCTTGCCAGGATCCTAAGCAAGATTCCCATAACTAATTTCAGAACAGACTACATCAAGCAATACCTAAAATACTCTAGCCCTGCCCCGAGTAATCAACGTGATGTCACACACGTTAATCTTACGACCTAGTCGAATTTTCTTAACACCGTGGCTTAACCGCTGAACCGAACGATGGGAACCGATGAGCGGACATCAGCACTGGGAACGCAAAACTGACTGCGACCACAGCCACACCGGCGAGTGGACCAGCACCCACCATCACCACCACCGCCGCCGAGTGGACCAGCACCCACCATTACCACTTCTGAGTGTACCAGCACCCACCATCACCACCACCGCCGCCGAGTGGACCAGCACCCACCATTACCACTTCTGAGTGTACCAGCAACCATCACCTCCGCCGCCGCCGAGTGGACCAGCACCTACCATCACCACTGCCGAGTGGACCAGCACCCACCATCACCACTGCCGAGTGGACCAGCGCCCACCATCACCACTGCCGAGTGGACCAGCACCCACCATCACCACTGCCGAGTGGACCGTCGACCACCATCACCACTGCCGAGTGGACCGTCGACCATCATAACCACCGCCGGGAGGACCTGTGACCATCACCACTGCCGAGTGGACCAGCACCCACCATAACCGCTGCTCAGTGTGCCAGCGACCATCACCCGCGCCGAGAGGAATCAGCAACTATCACCACCATCACAACCGTCGAATGGACCGTCGACCACCATCACCACCGCTGGGAGGACCTGTGACCATCATCACCACCTCCGAGGAGACCAGACTACAAGCCTGAAACATTTGAGGTCGGCGGCGTTGTGTAAATGATACTTTGACCTTCAGCGCGGAATCGATCAAATTTTTACTGACGCGCTAAAAAATCTACTGCCACTACTACTAAACTCCTCATAAAAGATAAAGATACAATTTTTGCACCAGATTATGCCCAGATAAGATAGGTATCATGGATACGAATAGCCGGACGTCGAATATTCACTATGCCAGATTTCAAACATGAAACATACACAGATACAAACTTTCACAAATATAGATTGCAATAATATAATCGAGGTTAAAATAATAATATTCTACAAAAAATATGCACAAAACAACAATACAAATAACAATAATTCCTGTGAAGAAATAGGTACGAAGCATTCATCACAGCGTTAACATGTTCCATTATCAAGATCATATTAAATATTATCCAGTAAAATTAGCTTGGGAAATTATAGCTAAATGTTGATAATCGCAGAAAATTGCTAACATCTCATCTAGACATAGTGGCAAACAAGAGGTCTCTGTTCAGTTAGATCTTTCCAGATTTCCTGAGCTGCTTCAAATTTATGTCAGCATCTTATCTATGATAATAGTGAAATCTACAAGATTCGACTTGTGTACCCATACGAATCCTATTGATTTGTACGATCATGAATGAGCAGCAACTGAAAAGTTGCTCGTGCTCCAGCATGTCATCTATTCGCTCCAGGAGGACAGCTCCTCGTCCGAGTCGTCCTCAGCTTCTTGTTCGCAAGCGGCACTGGCAGTCACATGGGCGTCCGGGTTGCTGAAACAAAAACAAAAAAAAAGAACTCAAATAAAATAACAAATATTATAATTGTTTGCAAAACTCTCCTTCCTTCAGACCCCCCCATCCACTTACATCATCCGAGTCGCCTTCTCTGGTGTACGTGGACGCGGGCACCATAAAAAATGTAGTGAATTGCAAAGGCTTGAAAAAATAGTGGCTAAGTATAATAGGAAAATTTTAACGAGTCAGCATTGTGGCATTCTGAGGGTCATAGAAAGTAGTGCTGTAACGAGTCAGAATTGCCAAATTGTGCAATTCATAGAAAGTAGTATAGAAAATAGTCAGAATTGTCATATTCTGACGGTTGTAGAAGAAAATGCAGTCATGAGCTAGAAAGCTAGAATTGGTGCTTTGTTGAACGTCGCAGCAGGTACTGTTCTCAACTTTAACGTGTTACCTATACCAGGAAACCTAATAGCATTCGTGGAAGTGTCTAAAACCGCTTAGCCTTGCATTTGAAAAATGTGTATGGGAATGATTTAACGACCCCGCATGCAGTGGCGCCCAATATTAATAAACCGATGATAGCTGGAAACCTCATCTAGGGGGGATTGGACTGCAGCATCTGTTTGCAAACTACCGAAATTGTTATTTTTAAGATAGTTTTCAGATCCATAATCTGTTTCAAATTTTTAGTGTTGTATCTTATTTACGTGTATTATGTACTTATGTTCACCAAAATTTCATTATTCAATGCTTCTTATAACTTGAAAATGAATATTGATACATTCGAAACCTCGTTAAATATATTATAAGTACTTGCTGAGACCTGCCTTTTGATCTATTAACGTCATCTGAAGAATTGTTTTGACTTATAAAATTAATTATCTGTAATAACATGTAATAACAATATGTAATTATCTGGATCAAAAAATGGAATTAAGTCAGGATAAATTAAAGTTTCCCGAGGACAAGGTTGACAATGGATCGATCATTAGTTAGGTTTTGCATAGTTATTGTACGCTAGTTTCTTTCTGAAGCAATACACGTCTCGTGATGCAAGTACGCTTTCTCGTATAATTATCACTAGGCTGCAGTGAATTTATGTCCTACACTCAGACAAATTAATGGGCCATATTCTGCAAATAGTGACAGTTCCCACCCTTAGCAGTGATACACCATCTTGTCAGGCCTAACTGAGTCAGGGACTAAAACAAATGCAAATAATTTTTAAACAAATAAACTAATTTTTAATTAATAAACAAATAAACAAATGCTAAAACAAATGCAAATTTCTCACTCACTCGCATCTACTGAAGAAATGCGAGTAACGTCATGAATACAATTTTTAATGATTTCCTACAACTATTTATCTTGGAAATTACAAACATTTTCACTCATAATGGCTTTTGTGCAACGAAACTTTCATTCACGTTGATCAAAATGGCATGTCATTATTTCTACATATTTAATTTTATCAATAGTTTCAGTTTGTAATTTTCCTCAAAGTGAAATGCAATTTGGGATTCAACAAATGACTTCCAAGCCAGTTTTGAAGGAATAAAAACATGTTAACCAATATCCAAACGCGCTTCTGTAGGTCTATACTTACTCTAACAAGTCCGGGTCCAGACCTAAAGCAGACATCTTGAGCTTGACAGCAGTGAGAGGCACTCCCACTGCGACCATCTTGAAATATGTTGCGTAGTCAGGGTGCTGGCGGGCCGGTACTGTGTTGGACTGAGAAGCTGCATCCGCATTGTCTGTGGCTAAGTTCAGGCCTTCACTGCCGGATTGACCTGCAATAAGGTCAATCTGGATAGAAATACAAGATCTAATAATTTCAAACCTTCAGTATAAGCTGCATCCGCATTGTCTGTGGCCAAGTTCAGGCCTTCACTGCCGGATGGACCTGCAATAAGGTCAATCTGGATAGAAATACAAGATCTAATAATTTCAAACCTTCAGTATAAGCTGCATCCGCATTGTCAGTGGCCAAGTTCAGGCCTTCACTGCCGGATTGACCTGCAATAAGGTATTGACATTCAGGATAGAAATACACGATCTAAAAATTTCAAACTTTCAGTATATCTATGACAAAAAACTTGAGGAGAATATGTGACAGATGGAGATGGTGTTGGTGGAAGTATTTAAAGATACATTCTTCAATGGAAAAATTCATAAACAAATAATTGTATTATGGTGAATGTCTTCAATGAAAAGTCGTCATCGTTCAATGTACGCAAATTAAATCCACTTGCCATTTTATCATCCCCAAGCATTACTACAAAAATAATTATTGAACATACAAAATATTATAGCAAAAAATGACAATCATTTGGCTATTATTAAAAGGAAAGAAATATGATTGAAAAAAGCATTCAAGTATGCTAATCAATAATTTTGATACAATTTAACACCTTTCAATTTACTGAAACATCTTACCTATCAACTTACACACATTAAAATATTAAAATAGTTACAATAAACATTGAATGATAAATAATTGTGTTCATATTTTTTGTGTTTTGTAAAATTATATTGAATCAGAAGTTATTATTTAATTAGATATGCTTCTAACTCCTGCAAGCAGCATAAGCCTAATCCAATGTTGCAAAAGTTTTCCGCTAATTTATAATGGATTAAACTTAAAACTCTTATAAAAGTCAATTGACATTTACAATACTAACATCTGATACCAATACAAAATTTCCAATACCAGCAAACAATATTCAATACCAACGACCAATCAATATCCCATAATAAAAGAAATAGTTATGCTGCTCTTAAAAGGTAGAATTTAGCCCTTATTACTTTGAGATCAGGCACAGCACAGGCTTATTGGCAATTTATGATTAACATCACAACAATATTCCAGCAAACAATATTCACACAATACACAATATTCAAACAATTCCAGCAAACAATATTCACACAATACACAATATTCAAACAATACCAGCAAACAATATTCACACAATACACAATATTCAAACAATACCAGCAAACAATATTCACAGGTGAAGAGAAGAAAAATCATTTTATTGATGTGCATGTTAAACAACCTACCTTCTGATGCCCGGACAGGTTCTTCATGAGTTGTGATGGCTGTGGTGGTGGTAGAGGAACATTCTGTGATGTTTTCCAAACCAGATATTGAGGATAACTGAAACAAGATTTATATTATTTCAATATTTTTTTCTGGAATAAAGTATATTAAATTAAGTAGTACATAAGAGTATGACTGCTTTGTATGATGCATCACATCCTGTAATAAAGAAACATAAATATTTTCAAGAGGGATAACCCATGTACAGAATTGGAACTGCCACAGGAAATCAACATCGTTTACAAATTTTTGTGCATCACATCCTGTAATGCACTATTAAGGTGAATAGATTAATTCAGGAAATTTCAGTTAAAGACCTATGACTTTCACAACTTTAATCCTTTAGCAGTCTTGTTATCAGATGCAGTTACTTGGAATCTCTGCCCAAAAATGCACCCTTAATACCTCAGGCTATGGTCACATTACAATGTTTTGGTAGACCACAATTAATAACTCATTATTCCATACATAATTCAAACATTATCCTTATAATAATTTAAACCACACTTATGAAAATAAAATAATAGCCATTGGAAAGTAGTGGCCATACACCAGAATTGATGCTCTGTGCACACTTTTTTTTATTGTGGACAAAATTAAATGTCTGTAATATCACTTGGCAATAACTCATCATGAAAGTTAGATAGTTTTGCATTATAATTAAAAGTCCTAAATAATGCATCATAATAAATATTTTGACTATAGTAACCATCTACGATACAAAAATAAAAAAAAACTTACAAACTGCGCCTTCATCATACAAAATTTTTAAAATACTCACAAGATAATATACCAGAAAATTTGTAATAGTTCATTGTACTAGAGTCATAAATCTGAAAGAATTCAAACAGCGCTGTTCAATCATTGAAGTGCTAAATTGACAGTTACATCCATTAGGAAGGAAGTATGTATATGTATATAATACATTCATTTTTGTGGAACATTAGAACTGAAAAAAAATTTAAAGCTAACATGATTTTCTAAGTAGTACCATATCAACAAAAAAGATTGATTTTTGGGTGTGAATAAGAATAACCAATTCAAATTAGTTAGAAAATCATTTCAATAAATTAACTCATCCTGCTACATTCAATAGTGTCAAGGAATAAGACACTCTCTGCAACACAGTACCGGTATGTATAAATAATTCTGAGAGATGACATCATGCAACATGCTATAGATGCTTGCACTATGCTGAACTTGTTGCAAGCGTCTTAAGTGAAATGTGGCAGGTAAGTGGCCTGTTAAATGTAGGACTGAGTTTTGGTTATTTTTATCCAATTTCTTGCCTATAAATATGCAAAAAGTTTACAAAATACCAAGTACATGCAAGAGAATTTCAGTACCATAGATTCAGAGGCTTTACTACCCCTGATGGAAAGACATGCTGTTTATTATGCACCATAATCTTCATCAAAAGATTGTCTTCTTAATTTATTTCTCAACAATATGCACAGTTTCTACTTATATTGTAGCTAAGGTATATATACTAATAATCATTCTTGGAGCAGGAACTTGAATGAATAAGGATTTTATAGTTAGGCTATCAAATGACAGTTTCCTAAACTCACACAACATATAAATGACATTGCACTTACTTTGCTCTCAAGGATTGCCAGGGCATCTTCGGATTGTTGAATTTTTGTATTAACTTCAGCAAGCTTATGCTCACATACTGACACAAATTGGTCTAAAAATGAGACCATGTGAGCAATCCAGTAGTTGATGAATGCCAACGTCCTTTTGGGGTTGAGAGGTTCGACCTGAGAAAAAAAAAAAAACATTTGAATCATATTTTAAAATATTAACAAACAAAACACAAATTAAATTCATTATTGCATAGTGCCAGTTGCAAATTATTATTCTAAGTAAATTCAATCAGACCTGAAACTGGTTATCAGATATGCAATATTGCTCATTAATCTATTTCTCTCTACAAAACTGATTACTAAAGTATTGAAAAATGTATACATAGCAGTCAACTGGGCTCATAATTTGGGTGAGTTTTTTATAATTTACTCACCTATGTTTGCCTATATGGTTTTGAATGAACACTTGCTATGATTGTAAATGGCATTTTGGGGTCTCGGTTCCTGATTTATGCTTCCCTATGATCAAATATTTGTTGACAATAATTTCCAGGATTTGGAATTGGTTACAATTGTTACTGCATTTATGAATTACCGTACTAGTTAATTTGTATATATTTGGAAGCAAAATAATTTTCAGTCTTTGAATCAACAACTTCAATTTAATTACTAATTTAAAAAATATTTGCCCAATTCAATTATATAGGTACCTATTACTGCCAAACAATTTTTTTGGCATTTACATACAGACTATAAAAAGTCCAGGTTTAGCCTCGGAATTGAGCCAAGAAAATTAGCTTATAGGTTCCATGAGGGCTCAGTGCTTGAACAAAATCAAACAATGTATGATGCAGTTTTTGTATTAGTTTTGGGCTATTACAAAAATATAGTGATTTACTGCAACCATAACTTTGTCTCTTAACCTTTCCATGATGATGGAAAAAGGAATGAATTGTTTAATTTTATAACATAGTTAACCTAAAGCTGCGCTGCTATTTAAACTTGCTTTCAATGTGTAGCATACCAAGCATGTGATGAAAGCATTACCCCAAGTTCAAAGCAATTAAATAGTTCTTAATACCATGAGTCTACTACTGTTTAAAAACCTTTCAGATTTGATTCTAAGTATTTAGCTTGAATTTTATTTGGAGTCTACATGATCTTGACAGGATTGTGTACCATATACTTGCCAGCAGGAACTTTTTGCAGTCATGATCCCCAATTTCCTCTTAATCCTAACATATAAATCATAAACTCATTTTTTTTTGTCATAGAAGATAAACATCATTCTTAGAAATGATATTCTAAATAATTATATCATACAATTAAAAGAAATTACAAGCATGCAACAAGGAGTAAGTGCATATTGCAAGGCTGCATACCTATATATTACAAGTACTGACCTGCTCTAAATTAATGTGTGCTATTGCAGACCTCATTCCAACAGGGATCATGTTGATGTTACTGTTACAAGTAAATATTTTTTCTTATTAAATTCAAGTTTTGAACTTGTATTTGATTTTAAAATAAAATGTCAAGTTGAGATGCTGAAAACTTGGTATGTTTCAAAGAATGCTAAGATGGGTAAAACCAATAACAATCTATTGTGTGACAGATTATTGGGAAGGTCAAATAATTTCTGGCATTGATTTCCTATTAAAACACCAAATAAAAATTTATTATTATGCATCAATGACTCTTAGAATCAGAAGTCTTCCAAGGCTGCAGGTGGGATTATGGTTTTGATATGACATTTTTGAAGATGCCATAAATGGTCCACTCAGGCCATTTGCTGCACCTGGACATGTCAGAGTTATGTGATCTTCAATTCACAGTTGTTGCAGCTTCAACCGTTTTCAGTTATCTGCAGCGTGGTTTCTTGGGGTGGTAGAGAGCTTTATAGAGACTCAAGGCAGCCAGTACCTACTAGAAAGAAATGTGACCACGGCCTTTATCACAAGCTGCTGTTCTTGTTTGGTAAAAATCAACCACACAAAGCAATATGCTCACAGTCACAGTCAGTGTCTCAATGCCAATGCTCAAGAGGGTCTGCTTCATTAGTTGACATTCATTTTTATAACAGACACTCAAGCAAGAAATGGTCAATAGTCTCATGAACATAGCAAGCTTTTACTCCCACATGCCCCAGATAAAAGCCAACACAACAGTCCAGAGACACAAGACTTAGCAATTAGCATGAACCCAAAGTCCTGGCTGCAGATTTCTACAAACTGACAAGAGGTGTCCACCATTACCAGACTCAGCAACAATGCAAGACCAGTCCTCTTCCCACCAAGGCAGAAATTGACAGCATAGGCAACAAAGGATATCTGTATACTTCAGAGTGTGGTAGGAGCCTAGGAGGCTAGGAGCCTTGATCAAGTCCATGTTCCAAATTAACTGCTCAATCTGCTAGTTTCTTCCCAAGCATACCAGCATGTACTATTACCCATTGCAGGGCATTCAACAGTGTGGAATTTTGGATAGGTAATAAATTCTCACAAGTCACAAATCACAATCATACAAGAAAATGAAGCAAAAAGCCTAGTTAGCCTACCACATTACACCTTCCACCGTGTAACCGGAGTTACTATGCTATATTTACAAATTAATAGCATCGCAGCCGGATTAATTTTGTCCTTCCTTATACGTAACACGGTGCCCATCAGCACGTTTGTTAACTCAAACGAATCCAACTGTAGCCCGGGCAGGCTGAATTGTTCTTCTCCGACGTCTTTTATTGCGAATGGTTGAACAAGATGCGTCAGGGAACCGTTGCTGATCTTCAAGTTTCGAGAGACACAAGCTTTATTAAAAAATCGAACAACACAATTACACAAATTTTATCATCGGTGATAATTTTACTCAAAACAATAACAAGTATTTATACAAAATTTTCTAAAATACCCTATGAAATTTTACCATGAGACCCCCAGGCAACACGCATATGGAGTTCGCTTCTACCAAAGCAAGGTCATGCTGCAAGTACCACCTTTGTGACTCACCCTTATGTCTTGCAGTACTCCCTAGAAATGCACGGGACTATCGGGCGTCACTGATGTGGTAGCGACTACGGGCGACGGTGTTGACGAAGGCGCGGGTGTGACTGTGGATGAGGAAGATGCTTCGCATGAGTCTCCACGGGGAGACAAGGTTGCTTCCAAGACGTCCGCGCGCTCAGAAGTGGTGGTCGTGAACTCAACTGATGTTCGTCTTGACGTCAAGTCAACCATCTCCTCAAACGGGATGGTAGAATCAAAATGGTTCTCAGTTAAATCAGGGTTGAAGGTTGAGACACCACCAACAGTTGGCTGGGACAGATCTTGTCCATTATTATCGCCGCTACTGCCAATAGTGATTCTGTTATTGATTGATGAGTCGTTGTTGTCATTGTTGCGGACGCAGAGCTGGCGCCTGACCCTGGCCAAGGTAGAAGCAGGCCAGGGGGTCAGAGACGTGGAGGGGGGCAGGCCCCCCAAGTACATCACCTTGGGCAGGAAGTCCCCCCCCGATTGAGAGGGAGGTATTAAGGCGCTCGACTTCATCAAACAACACGAACAAGTGGTCGTTTCTTCGAGTCACCTGTCGGAAATAGAAAACAACTTATTGCACCCTGTCCATGGTATTCTTAGGGTGGAAACAATTTTAAAAATTTCTCATTATTTTAAAATTGCTCGTCATAATCTCCACGAATGTTACAACAGTGTTATTACTATAAGCTTATCAAATGGACTAAACAAGACGTATTAAGTTCAAGGTAAGTCAGACAGAATCAAAATGTTTCTATTGTGTAAGGTTGACGAAGAAGTACCAATCCTGTACATTACTTGTTGGTCCTACATAAATTTATCATACTTTAATTATCATTCTATATATTCTAAATTCAACTTCTTTTGATGATATAAACGAGTCAGCGACGTATGAAGTAGGGAGGCATGAAACAAAAGTCCTTGTTTTGTCGACCTTGTTTAGTAAAATCTTTCATTTGAAATAATTATTAAAAAATTTATGAAAAATATATTTGTTGTTGAAGTATCAGCCAAAAACTGAGCATTGAATGTTTTTTTTTTCAGGAAACATCCACCTGGGAGGAGGGCAATCCTCGTCAACAGGCTTCACCCTTGCAGGCGGAGGACATTTGGGAGACCACATGCCAGGTCAGATCAGTTAAACAGTTCTGCTAATATCAGCTTGAACGTTTATAAGCGCGTGGAAGTTTAACTCCATTGTCGTGGCAAATCTTGTAACTAAGCAGGCCTCCATTGCTTGCCGTGACCAAAAGTTTATGAATGAATTACAGCCTAAATTTATCACTAAGTTATTTCCTCCTGTTATATTACGTCGTTTCATTTGCTTGGCTGATTCTTCTCGCCAATCAAATGAATAAACCGCATTACCAGCATTACTCCTTTAGCCGTCATTATTATGAAGGCTGCCGCAGCACTACTACCGAGTGCTGACTCCATACTTTCAAAACTCGCTAAGTTAACGTAAGTACTTGTGCTCTTTTTTTCTTGTCTATGATTGGCGGGTTTTGCTTGAAAGGCCGTCAATGATTGGCTGATGAACTTACGATCTCTTAGCTTTTTTTGAAAGTATGGGCCAGCTGGTCCACGAGAGCCTAGAGTGACGAGACCGCAAATTGAAATTAACAACGTGAACTGCTTCAGACCGTACGATAACTCATACTACCTCATACTTCTCAAGTTTTTAGGTCATACATGATACACCTACAGTTCATTTAGTGCTAAATTATCTTACATTGAAAAAAAAAAAATGTGTATAGTCAAAATTTGAACAAGTAAAAAAGTACACATGACATAAGAAAATATCAGAAAACAAGGGTCATTACTCATCAGAAAACAGAAATCAGCACAGCTTTTGACCACATAACTGGGTGGACTAGCTAGTAAAAGTATGATAACTTAGGTCATACACACATAAAAATTCTGCATACACATACTGTCATACATACATACATATGAGCTGCATTTCTTATTTAGCATGCCTATCTAAAGTTCATTTAGCCTACCTGACTTCAAAATGTATACAGTCAAAAGTTGAAAGATTTTTCTTTGCACATAATCATCGTTATTACCTCCCCCCAAAAGTTCACACAAAGAAAATTGTACATTCAAACATCTTAAATTAGTTTTCAGCTCTTGTCTGGGCTGAGCATGTCGCTGGCAATGCAGCAGGTAGTGCTCAATAGTATCCACAGGGCACAGTGTTGCACGTAGCACACTGATCAGAGCCGCTCATGTTAAATCTGTGCAAGTGACTTCTGACGCCGGCATGTCCAATCCTGAGTCGAGCAGCAGCACACTCAAGTCTGCGAGACTTCAGGCTGAGCCAGGGTCGCAGGCTGGGTTCTTTCATGATGTTGCTCAAAAAAGTTCCCTTCTGGGGCGCCGTAGCTTCAACCAGAATCTGGCCCTGTTCTGTTCTGTTCTTCGGTAGGTTAACGGAGTGCTGCGCGTTGGACGATTCACTCCGGAAGCAGCAGTTTGTCAACGATTAGGGGTCAAAGCGGTGAGTTGAACTGATGAAGTTTTCCACGGCTCTGCAGGTCTGGGGCCAGGTAGGGCTGCTGGTGGTATCTCCTCCCAGTAGGGTTCCAAGACTTTATTCGGTAAGCACTAGTATTTATAGATTTGCACTGGGTTTCAGATTTCACACCGAGAACTTTGGTTGTTCAGCGATTGCACCACACGTCTTGTCACCATGAACGAACAAACGAAACTCCTCGAATCTGGCCCTCATTCCGCATTTCCGTTGCGCCCCCTGAGGTAATAGTGAAAACGCTGCAATAGATCGTCCGCGCTTGCAGAAATTTTATGATTAATTCGTTTGAAAAGATAATATAGTCTTATAGAAAGCCCCAGTTATAATAATAATAGCGGTTTCAGCGTTAATTAGGCCGTAGGCCTGTCGCCGATTCTTAACATCGCAGAACATTAACAGCTTGTTGCGGTCTCGAACTCGCAACTCACTGCTCCAATTCTGCTGTGTTTAACCGCCCGGCCTCCTTGCCGATTCTGACCAGAAACTGGCGCACAGAGCTGGGATCGAACCCGCGCCTCTCTGCTCCAATCTTGGTACTCTGAACTGTAACCACTGGGCCACCCTGCCACTGGGAATATCTCCAGATGATAAATTTATATAGCATATTACTGTATGTATTGCATTGTTATAATGCTTGTTTGATCACTACCGCATTATAATTAAAAGTTTTTCCAATCAAAAATATATGATATATATGTCTGTAAGCAAGCTTTTGCATAACTCAAACATTCTTCTGTTAACGTGTTTCCTCTGCGAGAATTAAAATAGAAATCAATGATTTTTTTTCAGAAATCGCTTCCCCTAATTTTCAAAGGCTCTGCAGCGGTCAATTTATAATGTTGAGAAGTTTTTTGAAAGGGTATTAATTTCACTGATGCGTGACCAAGCTTTTCTCCTTTGACTTATGAAAATTCTTGATTACCAACAATCTATATCTGTAAATTGACTTGACAACAATCACCGACAACAATCTACATCTACATCGGTAAATGGACTCTTCTTGATCGAAACATTAGTTATCACAGCGAATTATTGAAAGATCATGCATCAACTTTTGTGAAATAACATTTATTTTGTTATACAAGTACATTATTTATTAACAAATGTCCAAGAGC